GAACCTAGGGCCTCCAGCATGCAGCGTGCACTCCAGTCCCTGAACCACTGCCCTGGGCTGGCAACTCCTTACGCCAGAGAGCAGAGCAGCACTCAGGGTGCCTTCTGTTCTTTCCTGGCCGAAGTCTGGCCAAGCAGAGGCTCCGTAGGGAATGGGGGCGGTGCCATTTCACCTCCACGAATATGCTTGTGGGCAGCGCAAGTGAGTGTGAGGCCCCCAGCAGAGCCAGGCCTGACCTAGCCAGCTTGTGGCTTCCTCGAGACCTTGCTGGAGGGCTTCAGTTAGGGCGTCCTGTCGCCGTGCCTCAGGGGGTTTCAGACCCACAGTACAGTTTCTCCTAAGCGCTGCTTTTCTGGCTTAGAAACTCCAGGGAGATTTCTCCAAAGCTTGAAGGAGGTGTTGGACCCCAGCCAGGCCGCAGAGGGGAGGTCTGCAGATCTCGGGGAAGAGCACCCAACCAGCAGCAGTGAGGACCCCCTCTGCTGACCTGGACTGTGCGCCTGACATGTGCAGGAAGCAGACTGTCTCCTGTATTCTCCGTCTGTGGCAGGATTCCTCAGACCTGTTTGTTAGAGAACAGACCTGCCAGCGCTCCCGGGCTCCCCTCAACTCCTTCCTGTCTCACACCTCCCTTTTCTTCCTTTTCTGTGATGTCAGGACGGAACCCGGACTTCCCGGTTCCCAGCTCGGTGCTCTGCGGCCTCCCTGCCCAGTTCCCACTCCCAGCGGCCCCCCTGGGCAGGTTTAGCCAGGGCTGACTGCCACCGGGACACTCCCACACTCCCCACCTCTTAGTGGCCCGAACTGCTGGGACACGGGTGCACGTTCCACCCGCCCAGGTCCTCGGCACTGGGGCGGTGCCCAAGGGAACCTGCAGGCACTCACCCCGTGGCCTTTCCCCAGGGCCCCCCTGCAGCCATGCTTCCTGCTATCCCTCGGTGCCTGGCAGAGCTTTACAGCGCTGTCTTTGGGTGGAAGAGTGCACACCCCTCATCTAGCTCCCTGCACCTGCAGCTCCTGTCCCCTGAGCTGCAGACTGGCTAGGTTTTCCTGCCGTGACCCCCCAATCCAGCCTGCCACATAAGCAGGCAAGTGGCTGACAGAGCCCCGAGCACGGCCGCCCACCAGAGTTGACCTCTTTATCAGGGTCTCTTTCTCGGCAGGGCCAGGGCTGTGCGTGCCTGTTCCAGCCTAGCTGGATGCCAGCCCTGGCCCGGGACTCACTCGCCATCCCCGTCTCGGATACCGAGTCCTCCGTTCTGTCTGCCCCAGCCTCTGCCCCCAGCACCCACTGGCCAGGCACTTAACTCCCCGGGGGAAGCTCCTGCGTCTCGGCCCCGAGCCAGCACGCAGGCTGGCCTCAAGAGGACCAGCTATTCTGCAGCCAGTGGGGCTGACTCCCACCGCACCTTCCGTTTCTTTTTCTTCTTTTTTGGGGGGTCACACCTGACAATGCACAGGGGTTCCTCCTGCCTCATACACTCAGGAATCACTCCTGGCGGTGCTTCGGGCACCATATGGGATGCTAGGAATCGAACCAGGGTCGGCTGCATGCAAGGCAAACATCCTACTGCTGTGCTATCACTCCAGCCCCCTTCTTTTTCTTACAAACATCACAGGGTAACAGCCAGTGGGAACAGGCATTGTTCAAGCACTGTGGAACACAAGCGGTCTGATATGCTTGTAACTCTTTGACACATGAAATGTTGATCTCTGAAATGTCACCTCTTGTGCCTGTCGGTAACCTGAGGCCCAGGACTCAGGCGTTCTGGCGAGCAGCCCCGGCCATGCTGCTATCCTCTCTGAGAACCATGAGAGAGGCTTTCAGTTACTTGCGCTCCCAACAACCTGCCCAACATTGGCCCTCGGGGCTTCTACAATCTTTTTTTTTTCTTTTTGGGTCACACCCAGTGATGCACAGGAGTTACTCCTGGTTCATGCACTCAGGAATTACTCCTGGCAGTGCTCGAGGGACCATATGGGATGCTGGGAATCGAACTAGGTTGGCTGAGTGCAAGGCAAACGCCCTACCCGCTGTGCTATTGCTCCAGCCTCATTCTAGAATCTTCTTGACTTAGATTCCTTATTCTGGCCTAACCCCCGTCTTCTCTCCTATCCTGGATTCACTGTCCTCTGTTGCCTTAAGCTTGATGACAGCCGGGAGGAAGCCTAGTACACAATTTGCAGAGCACGTAATCCTTGCGCGTGGAGTTGAGAGCTCACTGGGAGACTCACCTCCCGGGTCCTTCCCCACCCTTGCCAGGCCCATCCTGCTGGGTCATCTGTGAGCCACCACCCTGCTCTAGTCCTGACCTGCCCTTCCTGCCTTCCCCACAGTGGGGGGCCTGGGTGCAAGGGCCGTGAGCCGTCTGCTGCAGTCACCTTCTGAGGGAAGAGCCTCCTCACAGCCTCCGTGCCCCCACACCCCCCCGCCGACCCAGCCCACATCAAGCAGCTGGTTATAAAGGAGGGGAACGTGCTATTTAGAAAGGAATCAGAAAGAGCTGTCAGCAGGACATAAATATTCATAGAGGGAGGTTAGAACTGAGTCCCTAAAACCTTGATTTGTGTTAGTTCATTTAAGCCTCATTAAAAAGTGGTAAATGAAAATGGGGCTATTCCACAGGACTGCAGATGAACTGGGCTTGTGCCCATGAAGGGCCTCCCACTGCCGGCCCCACCGGCCCCCAGAGGCCGCTGCACCCTGGCAGCGCCGTGTAAGGATCTGCATTGCTCCTGCTCTAGCTCTGGGTCCACGACCTCTTGTTCAGGCCCTGTGAGCTTTACGGGGGCATTTAGGGGTGGGAAATCCATGACCCACTCCTTTCCCAGACTGATAAGTAATTCAGGACCTGGTCTCGGTGCTGGTGGAGGACACCTGCTTAGGACAGGACAGTCCACCGAGGGGCTTCTCCGAGCTTCTGGCGTCTGGGCACAGGGCCAAGTTCAGATTCTCTTTGCTGGTTGAAGCCTCCCATCAGCCCCGCCGCTCACCCACCCAAACTCATGAGCACGGCTGCAAAAGCAGATTGTTGCCAAGGACCTGGCCGCAGAAGGGAGACCAGTGGCCACTGTGCTTTTCCAGACAAGCTGGAGTCAGGCCCCCCAGGGGCTGGTGATCACAAACACTAGAGGACTGAGTCAGCCAGTGGGCGGGGCTAGGACTGCAGCCTTGGCCATTGCCTCGGGCACTGAGTTGGAGAAGAATGGGTTTGGGCACACAGGACAGGGTGTTCTCAGCAGAGATATGGGTTGGATTTGGGGGGGAGGAGAGCACATCTGGTAATGCAGGGGTTACTCCTGGTGGCGCTCAGGGAACCATACGGGATGTTGGGGCTCAAACTGAGCCTGGGGCAGCTGATGCAACAAGCGCCCTATTCATGGTGCCAGCTCTCGGACCTGGTGTGGGTTACTTTGGCAGGAGGCAGTGGCTCTGCAGCACAGTAGCCGAGAAATCCCACCAAGCGAGCAGAGCCTGAAACCTGAAGAATTAAGCTCTGCACCTCGGGGTGTGGCCCTTAAGCACCACCACAGGGGCCTTAGTGGCCCCCAGCACTGCCCAGCCCAGAGCAGTACTTGAGCGTGCTTTCCGCCCAGGCCCCGACGCCCCCCACGCCCTGGGTCCCTGTGGGACCCAGCATGGAATTTGGTCGCCTAGTCGTGGCAGTGTGTGAACAGCAAGTCTTGGGATGCTGAGGGGGCTGGGCCAAGTGGGGTGCTGCTGATTCCACTCACAGTCCTAGCCGGCCCCTGAGCCTGGCTCGCCAGGGCAGGGGTTCCGGACAGCTGTTGGGCTCCCCAGGCCCTGGCTGGACTGCCCTCCCTTTGTGCCCGTTAGCAAAGAAATGACACAATTAGTCAGGCAATTAACTCAAAGCCCAGCAGTTGCTCCCTCCCACAGGGCCTGCTTCTGGAACCAGACTTAGGCAGCTGGGCTGCAGGAAGGGGGCGGCTGGTGTCCTGGAGACTGGGCACTGGGCCCAGATGTGCCACAACAGGGCTGCCAGGGGGCTGGGGAGGTCCGGAGAGTCCAGCACCGCACACCTGCCCGAGAACCCCGGTTCCTCTCAGGGTTGCTGATTCCCATGGGCAGAAGCCGCTCCAGGAAGAGGTTGGCGCCACTGACTCCTCAAAAAGGAGACGGCACCCAGGGGTGCCCTGTGCCCCACTGCCAGAACGGAGGCTGGCTCTGCCATCCCTCCCAGCCTGTGGGACAAACAGGGACCCAGCGTCGCAGAAACCAAGATCTGGGCCCCCTGCTGGCGGCTGTGCAGACAGACAGACGGACGCAGAGGCACTCTGGAAGCCAAGAGCACTCCAGCGGAACCCAGCTGGCCCGGTCCTTGACAAGGCATCTCCCTAGACCACAGCTTTGATTTTCCCATAATCAAAACAAATGGAGGAATGGATACCTTTGACAACTAACCTTTCAGGAATCAGCTATTCTGTCACAGTTACGGACACCTCGGTGATGGAAACTGTTTTTTGCGTAAGAAAAAAAGTCAGAAGTAGGCGCCTTGAGCTGCACTGTTTATATTCTGGAATCTGTATTCTGACAATGCATGCTCTTACAGCTGAGACTAGCTAAAGAGTGTCAGTGAGACAAAGAACCGCCTTCCGTCCCTGGATGTCACATTACCTTGTGTGTGAGGGCGCTTTCCCACGGCACCTCAGTTCACACTGGGGTGCACCCCAGTGGCAGGAAGTGCCCTGTGCAGCGCTCTGGTGGCTTCCTGCTGGGTCCGAAGGGGCATGTGGCGGGGACAGACCCAGCACAGGGGCTGCTCCTCCCTGCTCCCATCTCAGTCTCAGCCTCGTATCCGGGCAGCAACACCCAGAGTGGATTCTGCTGGCACTGTGGGACACCCGCATGCAAAGGACCCCCAACAGAGCTGCGGGAGGGGCCGGCAGGCAGGCTCCCCAGGCTCCCCTATCCCAGGCGCAGCATGTGGGGGCCGAGGCCCTGCCCCCGGACTAGTCCAGGCCGTGCTGTGTTTCAGATCGACGGGCTGGAGGAGAAGCTGTCCCAGTGCCGCAGGGACCTGGATGCCGTGAACTCCCGGCTCTGTGAGCCAGAGCTGAGCCCAGAGGCCAGGTAACAGTCCTGCTCCACCCCCAGCCCCCGACCTACTCTGGGGTCCTGGGTGTCCGTCCATCCCCCGACCCAGGCCATCCTCAGCCATCCTGCGCTGGCATGCCAGCGGCCTGGAGTCCGAAAACTCCTTCTCCCTCACAGGAGGTCTCTGGAGAAGGAGAGGAAGAGCCTGATGAGCAAAGCCTCCAAGTACGGTAAGAAAGTTCCCTTCCACTGGCAGTTCCACGTCCAGTCCGAGTCAGGAGGGTGGAGAGCCCAGTGGGGAGCAACATGGGAGCGCCTGGGAAGAGCCACCACCAGGAGGCTCCGGGGCCATTTGGCCTTTATTCCTCGTGAGGAGGCCTGGGATCGGGGCGCGACCAGACGAGGCTCGCCCCCACCCAGGTCTGGGCGTCCTGTTCTGCCGTGCCTGTGTCTTCTCCACCAAATTCCTGTGAGGCGAGTGGGGGACATACTCGCCCACCCCCACCCAGGATCTGCTTGGGCAGCAGGAGGGTCACTGTGGGTGGAGCAATGCTGCCACCTTCTGGATGCGAGGGGCAGCGCCGGCTGGAGGAAGAGGCTCCGTCAGGATCCCGACTGGTCGGTTTTGATCTCCCCCTAAGGGGACCAGCCCCGCCCAGAACAACCCTGACCCTCAGGCAGATGCTGAAAGCCTGAGCCGCCATCACCAGGCCTCTGTGGCCTGCCCCAGCTGCTGTGCCCTCCTCCCACGCCAAGGGTGGGGCCTCCGTCCTCATCTCCAGCCACCGTCCCCTTAGGGCTGAGGCCGTGCTGTGAGGCCTGGCCTCCAGGTCCCTGCCTCCCGTCATCCTCAGGAGCCGGGCAGCAGGGTCCACCCCCAACCAGCCAACCGCCCTCGCCTGAGCGTTTATAACTGCTCACACCAGAGTGCCAGGACTCCCTGGCATGCCACGTCACCACCGAGCTTTTGGGGGTAGCCGGGGGGCGGGGCCACAAACGCCGCCCCAGCTTCAGCTGCACCAGAGAAGTGGCTTGGCACAGCCCGTGCTGGGGCTTCTCCAGGCCGAGACCTTCAGCCAGGACCCGGCGGGGCGGGGCGGGGAGAAGGCTGGGAGGCCAGGGCCTCGCCCCAGCAGGGTACTTATCCGTGGCAGAGGAGAGGGGAGGGGTGGGGAGCACGCGGGCAGCCCGTCCAAGCCCCCCTCCCCGGCAGAGAAGGAACTCAAGCTGCTGCGGAAGGAGAACCGCAAGAACATGCTGTTGTCCGTGGCCATCTTCGCCCTCCTGAGCCTCCTCTTCGCCTACTGGAGCACGTGACCGGTCCTGCGCCCAGAGGCCCCTGCGCCCGCCCGGGCGGGCAGAATGCCCCTGTGCCCCGTGGCGCGGCCTCCCGCAGCCCACGGGAGAGGCAATAAAAGCTGCTGAGTAAATGCCAGGTCTGCCTGTGGCTGCGGACACGGGGGCACGTGGAGGCCGCTCTGGGCTTGGAACTTGGGGGGGGAGGGGCTCCCCTCGGACCCTCCCCGCCACCCCACCGCACAGCCTGCCCTCGAGCGCCCGGGAGAGGCGGGAAGCACTTTCCAAGCAAGGCCATGCTGGGAGCAGCTCCTGGGCCTGGACACTGCCCTCCTGTCCCCGTCCCCGTTCCCCCCCCCCCCCGCCCCCACACACACACTCTTCCCTTCCAGTCAGTGCCACTGTCTGTAACGCTGGCAGGGGAAAAATGCAGCCTGTGCAGTGAAGGGTGACGTGAGGACTTGAAGTGGTCGTGTCTAGGTCCCGGAGGAGCATGGAGTTAATCCATCTTCGAGAGGCCAGGCGGTGAGGCCGCATGGAGCAGAGTGGGCAGCGCGAGCCATGGTAATGACCAGACAGACTTATGGTGACAGTGGCCAGTAAATCAGGCGGCTCTGCGGCGAGCAGCAAACACAGACATCACTGCTGCCCTGCCCATCCCCCCAGCTCCCAGCTCGGGGACAGGCCGGGCAGGAGGTCACAAGAGCTGCAAGCTAATACCAATTAACTAGGTAAGAACAAGGAAGCAGTCGCCAGGGGGGCGAAGGCCATGGCAACACCCATCGGCCCCTCGGGCCAGGGGGACGAGTCAGACGCAGGGTGAGGACAGGCTGTGCCCACCCAGGGCAGAGGGGAGCTGGCTGGGGGTCGGCAAGCCCACTCCTCCCTGCTTCCTCCCCCCACTCGAGTGACACTAATTGGCCTGACACCTCTTGTTATTTTAGCCACAGACTGATCCTAGATTGTCACACTGCTGCGTGGAGCGAGCTGTGTGATTTACAGGCGGGGAAGGCGCCTGGCCCCTGCCGCCCGCCCGTCCCCTCTGCCTTGGGCTCCCTCTGGCAGCAAGCCGGGACCCCGCTGAGCGCGGACCCTGAGTGGTCCCCCTCCAGCCCGTGCTGTGGATCAGGCCAGCCCCGGAGCACCCGGACACAGCAGCTGCCCTCGCAGAGCCCACACGAGCATTAAAAATATGTTCCTCTTTAATGATCAAGATTCTGCAAGACACACTGATAGACCCAGAACTGGGTGGGAATCCGGCATCTCGGAGGCGCTGCCGCCAGGTGGACGGAGCGGGAGGCCGGCGGGAGCCTCGGCGTCCATCACGGGAACCTGTCGAGCCGGGCCGGGGCCATGGGTGCCCCCTCCCAAGCTGCTGCCCGGCTTCCCTCTTCCTCCCCCGCTTCCAAGATAGAGGAAATGGAGTGACCACGAAAGGACAAACTAAAGTGACTGTATCGCCTACTGAGGAAGAAAAACAAAGGGCGGGGGCAGGGGTAGCAAGGTGGCTGTGGCGAGCCCTGGTGCCATGATTGCCAGAGGGCCCGGGGGGCCCGCCCCAGGAGGGACCCTCGAACAGCGGGACGGGCCCAGGAAGGCGCGGAACCCCAGGAGGCAGTCGCGGCCATTCCCCAAGGCAGCGCCACCCACCTCCTGACCTGGCGTCGGGAATGTGGGGCCCACGACCTCCCCTCCCGGCCTGCGGGACTGTCGGAGGTCCGGGCTGGGGCAAACGGGGGAAGACCAGGACAGGTGGGAATGGAGACAAAAACCTTCTCCAACTTGGCATCAAAACAGAGCAAGTTCTAAGGACAAAGCCTTGATTTGTACAGCGGCTGCTCCTGCCAGCTCCCGGCAGATGCCCAATAAAAGCTGGGCAAAGCAGGAGCGCGGCCGCCCTCGGGGCAGTGCACAGAACTCAGAAAAGTGAGTACAGGAGACGGGAGAACAGCCGCAGCCAGGCCCCGCTGCTCTCCGGCGCCGCCTCCGCTGGCCCCCGTGCCCTGGACCTGCCCGCAAGGCTGCCCCAGGAGCAGTGTCCTTCGGGCGGAGTCCTGGCAGGTCTCCAGGAAGGGGGGAACGGACGGTGTCCCCGAAGGACCGCGGGAGAGCCTCTGGAGGCCCACGGGGAGACCGTCTCTCCCTCACGGGCACAGGCTGCCGTGAGCTCTCTCCCTGGTCTGCCCAGTGCTGGGGGACAGGCCGGGCACCCCGCCGTGGAATGACAGGACATTCGGTGGGGCTGCAGCCCGGCTCTCAGGCGCTGTGCATCTGGATGAAGGAGAGGACGTCCTCCTTGGACAGCCTGTCGGGGTCCTGAGGCTTCTGGGAGTCGTGCACGCGGATGCCATCCCCCCACTCCCAGAAGAGTCGGCCAAAGTAGCAGGTGCTGGGGGCAAGGGGAAGAGGGTCAGGGCCACAGGGAGGACGGGGTGGGGAGGGGGCTTGTGTCTCAACAACTTGCCTTTGGCGACCCAATTCCGCGGGGGCGGGGGGGCACCCCCTACCTCCTAGATCAGGTTTTCTCAAATCCTGCTTCCTTCACCCAACTGGATTCCTGCAATGACTCACCGGTATCCCCGGCTTAGCTGCCTAATGGCACAGTAGTGGTGTGCTAACAAACACCAGTGTTAACGGCCGATCACTGGCAAGTTAGGGCTGCCAGCCGCTGCCCAAACCTTTGACCAACAACCTGGCAAGTGGGCTCAGCCAGGACTCATGTCCGGGGGGTCAGGCAGTGGGTCCACAGCGTTTTCCCACCAGCCGGCAAATGACCGCTCCATGGGCAGAGCCCTGCCTCGGGCACCTCGCCCCCAGCCTGGCACTAGCCTGGGGGAAAGGGCCGCACTTCCTCCCGCCTGTGCTCGGTGAGCCTACCCCAGGCTGTGGGTGCCCAAGAGGCCTTCCGGGTGGGAGCAGCGGGGTGCTGACGGGGCGGGCTACTTACTGAAAGGGGGCAATGGAATCGACGGGGAGGTCAAAGGTAGACTTCTTGGTTTTCTTATTGTAGAAGAACTTCCTCTTCATTCTTTTGCTGAAAGCCATAGTCCATGGATCTGACAGGAAGAGGCCGAGAAAGGAAATAAAACACCCCCAAGAGATGGGCCAGGACGGTGTCGGGGCCTGCCTTCCCTCCACTCCCATCCTTCCATGGCCCTGTCTCCCGAAGCAGTCGGTGGGGTGCAGCCCGGGTCTCCTAAGCGGACAGCTGAAGCGTTCCTTCCCAATGGCCTGCAGAGCGGGAGAGGGGCCAGGACTGGAGGCTGGGGGCACTGAGAAAGGGATCGCTGGGGAGTGCAGGACAGAGGCCCCATCGCTCCAGCCCCAGGAGCTGCGGGGGATACAAGGTGCCCCCCCCCCCCGCCCACCACGGAAGGGAAGAGGCTCAGGAAACGGGCCCCACGACCGCCGCGCGGCACCCACCGTTCACCGTCCTGACGATGTAGAGGCCCGTGGGCACAAAGTGTCGGTCGTCCCGCCCCGTGTAGCTGAGCTTCGGGGTCCCACTGGAGCCCTTAATGATCTTCATCTCTAACCTAGCCCCCCCAAAACACAGAACAGAACCCTGACTGTGTGCACGGAAGCAAGCCAGCCCTGCCGTCCAGTCTCTGGCCAGTGACAGCTCGTCCCGACTGGGCGCTGGGCCCCCCAACAGCCAGTGTGCTCTGGAGGCCCAGCTCCACAGTGGAGGCGGAGCTGGGACCGGGCCCCCGCTGTGCTGCTGCCGGGGGGGGGGGCAGGGAGGGGGGCCGGGGGTGCCGTGAAGAGTCCATGAGAGCAGAGAGCCAGCGGCACACGCCCAGGGCGAGACCCACAGATCTCCGCACCCTCCACCCCCTAAGAAGGCCATGAAGAAGCTTTGCTCCCTCCAGCCCTCCAGGCTCGCTCTCTGTCAGCACCAGGAGCTGGAATTTATAGTGTCTCAAACAGCCTGCTGCTCGGCCCCTCGCAGGGACAATCTAACTATTACAGCATCAATGAGCCCGTATTTCTGCCTGACACGCCTGCCCCGGCCTCCTCCTGACAGGGTGCTGACTCAGCGCTCGGCACCAGAGTCCCACGGAGGCCGCTCGCCAGGCCCACACACTACCCCGGCCCCAGCCTTCTCTACTGAGAACCAGGGAACAAATCCTCAACACGCCTGCCCCAGCCCCCAGCCCGACTCCTCTCAAACCCTGAGCTAGTCCGGCCAAGCCACTCACCTGACAAAAATCTTCTCCATCTCTTCAAGCCTGTACACTTCCTTCACCCTGCGGGAGAGAGTAGCCGAGTGTCCTGAAGGGACAGTCTTGGCAGGGAAGCAGGACCCCACACCTGGCCTTGCCCTCCGCCTGGACCCTTCACCCTCCGAGTCCGGTGTCTGTTCTCCAGCCAGACCTTGGGTTTCTCAGTTGCAGCCCTGGCCCAGGTAGCTGGGGAGTGTGCCGATGGTTAGGGAGGAGGGAGAGAAAGAGAAGGCCCAGCAGACAAATGTGACCACCAGCAATCCCCTGCCACCCTGTCACCTCGCTGCGTTGACTGCAAGAACCGTGAGCGTCCCGGTAGCAGTCACTTCCAAACAGTCCTGACAGGCCTATTTCCACGGGGCACAGTGGACCCCTGCCCAATATGCAGGGCTCTTATCTGATGTCCACCTTTTCACCCTGGGGGGCTTGGGGACTGCTACTGGGTAGGGTCCTCAGGAATGGCCGTGATGGCAGCGCCATGGAAGCAAATGGCAGAAGGCACTTTCTGAGGAGTAGGAAGAAGCTGTCCCAGACACTCCGAAGACATCGGTAGGAGACACTCTTTGTACTGAATTTAAGTAAATATATTTACATTTAAAGGAACAAGAATTATTCTGACAAGGTGAAAATAGAGACCTCGATCTTTTGTGCTATGAAACCCAAAGGTCCCAGTCTGTTCTCCACGTGTCTGCCTCCTGACTGCCCTCAGCCCCCGGACTTTCAAGCGCGGCAACGAAGCCCGGCGTCCTCCCTCGCACCGAACATCCTCTCTCTCAAGCCTCGTTTTTTCCCCCTTTTCCACACCCGAGCTCCCCCAGCTTGCCTTCCTTACCTGAAGCAAACAAACAGGCCAGGTGTGGGTCATGGTCGGGGTCAGTGCTGCCACAACCATGTGCAGCTTAAAGGAAGGGAGCCCAGGAACAGGGGCCCACTGGGTGCTCCCTTCACAGACAGGGAGCCGGCGCAGGGCTTCCGGGTGACAGGCCATCTCATATGCTCACCTGATGGGATTCATATCAGGCCGACTGGGCTTGGAGACAGCTTTCACAAACTTCTCGGCAAGCTGGATTCTACGATTCAAAGAGTCTCTGAGACCCAGGTCAGGGCCCCAGCACCAGCAGCCAGCCCCCGGATCCTGTCTGCGGTACCGGCTGAACCCCAACTGCGAAGGAACTGCTCAGGGCAGCGCCCTGTCTCCCCAGAAGCCCCGTCACTCAGCGGTGCCCTCGTCAGCACGTCCCTCTGGCTAGGCCGGGACGTCTGACTCAGCTGCACCTGTGGTGGGTTCTGTTGCTGCGCTTTAAGGGCTGAGGCCGGGACACACCTGGAGAGCTCAGGGACACTCCTGGCAGAGCTTGGGGGGGACACTGGGCAGAGGATCATACCTGGGTTGGGGGCGCCCAAGGCAAGCACCCTCACCCCTGTCTGAGCTCTCTGGCCCCCAGCCCCTCAGCAACTGTGAAGCACACAGTCACCAAAACAAGTCCCCTGGGGGAGGTGCGGGGAACGGACTGCAAGGGGCCCACCCGAGTCTAAGACACACTTGCGACGGGAGATGCCCTCCCTTTCCTCTGCAGCCTGCCACACGGAAGCCCGGCCCACCCGCCCGGCCCCAGGGCGCAGGCCAGACCGTTGGTTGAAGTGTTGCTCCCGCACATCACTGCCATTCAGCACAAGGACATCCAGGATGTGGATCGCACTGATCTTCCGCTGAGCCTTTCCCTAGAAGAACACACACACACACTGCTCACGGCCAGCCCACAGCGGCCCGCTCTGCCAGCACCACGCAGCCAGGGCAAGGGAAGGGACTGGAACCATCAGCCGGTGGCCTCTTCAGTCTCCCTCCAGCTCATTTTCAGCACGGTGCAAGGGTCCAGGCTTCTGAGCATGGAGCTCTGAAGCTGGGAATGTCCTCTTGCACCTCAACTTAGTGGCAGGGCTGCCAGGGCCTGGCTTCCTGCTCTTTGCCAACTGGCAACCCATCTGTGTGAACTAAGATGTCATCCTAAGGGTTGTCATACCCGGAATTTGCGGGAAATAACAAACGGTTTCTTTCCAACAGACTTCAGAGCAAAAATTAAATCAGCAACTGAAAGTACCCAGCAGACCCAATAGGGCCCCTCAAAGCACAGAGATAATCATGGCCTCCCTTAGACATGTGGAGAATGCCGCCAAAAGATGAAATTTTATACACACACACACACACACACACACACACACACACACAGTCAGGACTTCTCAAATGTCATCCACTTGTGACCCTTTAAATCCTGAGAAAAGCGACATGGGTACGGACTGCCGGAAATACCTAAGATTCTCTGTGAGGTTGACTCTGAATCATTTGGCTGCCTTTCACTTGTGGCCAAACCCTACTCCTAACCCTGCCCACGTTCTACAGTCGCCAACTGGACCACAGTCCAGTTTAAGCAGCAAGGACTTAGAATCATTCCTCAAGAAGAAGGCTAACTACAAAGCCTTCCCCAACCCTGGCGGTGCCAAGCACCACCACATCGGACCCCGTTAACGCCAGGAAAAGGGCCAGGCTCAGAGTGGCCCTGGTCCCTTAGCTGCAGGGCCAGAACACATGAGCAGAACCACCTCTGACCTCCCCTTTCAGCTCATGGACAATCTCCACAGAGAGCAGAGTATCCCGGGGTAGCTCTGTCTTCAGGTCCAGCTTGACCCAGCGATCAGACTGGCGGCCATCCCACGTGTAGATCTGGGACTTCTGTGGGGCAAAGAGACAGGGCGAGGTTAGCAGAACGGTGGGGCCTCGGTCCTCAAAAGGACTTTCAGCTGGTGACCACAAGTCGATGAGGCTGAAGATGGCAGAAGAAAACGCCTAGGAGAGAGCAACTGTTCTATTCTGTGACGAGAACGGTGTTCCCTACTGATCAGTCCTCTATGTACAGAGCTGTACACCATGCCAAAGGTTGGCAGAACTTTGCCAAAGGTACCCAGAACTTCAACTTACTATAAACTTCAGCTTACTATATGTCTGAGGTGGGGATGGGCCCGGGTTCAGAAAGCAGAGATGTGGAGAGAAGGAGAAAAAAGACAAATGGGAGAAAACACAGAGAAAGTGAGGGAGAAAAATTAATCAGAAAGACAAGTGAGATTGTAGAGTGAGCAATGACTCTATCCAGTGGCGTCCGAACAGAACTACCAGACCTTTCCCTCCCTTCCTTGACACCAGGCGGTGTCAGACACAGGTGATGTGGGGTTGTGATGCTGCAAAGAAATGGCTGCATAGGCTCAAGTCAGATGAACTAACCTGCTACCCATGCTGCTAGTCTGGAAAAGTCTGTATCACAAGAACAGAGGCACTAGTCCTTTTGGCAAGACAGAGAGGTGAACAGCAAACAGGAGGCAGGGAGGGAGCGAGGGAGGGAGACAGCTAACTCAGAGGAAGAGAGAAAATGTAATCTGAAGAAACACTTCCCTGATGTCAAAAATCCCTCCTCCCTGGTGCCACGAAAACACGCAGAGTGCCAGGCAGCTGCCCAGACTGCCCCAGGTGCCGCCACCCCAAGCGGGGGAGGAAGCCAGCCGAAGTCTTACCCCCAGGCCGATGAGAAATTTCTGTTCACTGCCGGACACCATGCAACGGTAGTCGAGCACCGGCCGGATCTTCTCCAGGGTCCTGGCGGTGAGCAGCGTGGGCTTGTAGCTGAAGATGTCGATCTCAGTGCCCTGCACCCCGGGTCAGAGAAAACACGGCTGGGTTGGGAGAAGCAGCAGGCACTCAGGAGGGGTGCCAGTCCAGGGCGGGTCAGCAGGGGCAGGCAAGGGAGACGAGACGCCTGCTCTCTGAAACAATCCCCCTTCCCCAGGCCCCTGCGCCTACCCACGCTGTAAACAGGATCTATTTCCATCTGCCCGGAGTGTTCCTTTAGGGCCTACTACAGAACGCTGGGAAAGGATGCCGAATTCCCAAGGACATCTCCGTTTCCCAGGGCTAGAAGGAAATGTCCTGGAATAGAAAGGCCATCCCCCTTCCATGAAACGGAGACTAAGGACTCACCAGCAATTGGGTCTAAAGCAGTCAAGTCACACACACACACACACACACACACACACACACACACACACGTTACTCCTGGCTCTGCACTCAGGAATCTCTCTTGGCAGTGCTCAGGAACGGACACACACAGACACACACAGACACACACACACACACACAGTTACTCCTGGCTCTGCACTCAGGAATCTCTCTTGGCGGTGCTCATGGGACCATGTGTGATGCTGGGATCAAATCTGGGGGTGGCTGTGTGCGAGGCAAGCACTGTACGTCTCTGGCCATATATCTATGTATATTTTGATTTTGTTTATCTGTTTGTGGGGTGGGAGGTTGGGCGACACCCGGGGCTCCACTCAGGGAACCAGACAGGGTACTGGTGACTGAACCTGGGTTGGCTGCACACAAGAACCTTACCCACTATACTATCACTTCAGCACAATTTCTTTCTGTTATTACGTCACACTCAGTGGTTGGTGGTATGGTTTTGTGAAAGTCAGAGACCGACAGGTGTTCACTCCTGGCGGTGGGGCCACGTGGTATCAGGGATCAGACCCAGCTCTCCTAAACACCTGCATGCAAAGCATCACTCCGCCTGCTGGGCTGCCTCTCCAGACCACGGAAAACATGGAAGTCAGGTGGTACAAAAAAAACAGGACAGAAGTGTTCTGAGGGCCTTCTCACCAGTACAGGCAAGCTGGAGAGAGGTCGGCCTTGGTGACAGAGCTCCCCAGGCAATCTGTTCTGGCCCTCCACACCAGCTCCCTTGTCTATGGTCATCCCACACCTCACATCTCCCCTGGAGTCGGGTTTGAACCAGTCGGGGCAGGGGGGCCAGTGTCAGCCTTTGCCCAGAAGGGGTGCTGAGGACAACACATCTTAAGAATTCTCGGGCAGCATCAAGCTCTTGGGGACTCGACATCCTATACCAAAGGGTCTCACCTACGCTGGCCTCCATCCAGCCCCTTGGAGCCTGGGCAGTGCCTGAAAAGGCTCTCTAGGGATTTGGGGCTCCAGTGACACCTTCCATATAAGCCTCTCTTTTTATTCGCCCCAGACACCCAACTTACCTGAATGAGCTCAAAGAACTTAGACTTTGGGTCTGAGGAAGAAGGAGCAACCCGGGCCTGGTCCGGAATCTGAAACAAAGACGGCAAGAGCTGTTCTCCAAGCTCAAATGGGAAAATGCCCCCTGACTAATACGGCTTTTGTGGCATCGACAGCAGAAGGGCGGGATCAGACTGGGAAGAGGAAAGGACGCACAACAAAGACAAAACAAGGAGGGGCCAGGGTGACCGTACAACAGGCTGAGCGCCTGCACTGCACGTGGCAGATCTGGATTTGACCCTGGCATCCCATATATCCCTGAGCACCACCAGGAGTAATTCCTGAGTGCAGAGACAGAAGTAACCTCTAGTTATTGCCAGGTGTGACCCAGGAAGCCAAACGTAAATAAGACTAGTAATGCTTTAAGATTAAAAAAAAAGCAAGAAAGTAGAAAGGGGTGGAGGTGGGTGACGTAACGGTCGCTCCCCTTCAGGCCCTGCAGTAACACACCCAAGGGTGCTCCCTTTTGGGGACTCTCTAGGCCAGCAACGGCACAATGAGGCCCACTCCTTTCTGACCCAGATGCCAGGCCAACTGGCAGTGAAAGGGGCAGAAACACGCTTCCCAACGATGCCGAGACAGTCCTGAAAGGGACAGCAGACATTCTCCGGAGGGGAGAGACCCGCCAGCGACAGTGCGGAGCCATCCCATGCTTTCCGACAGCTTCCCTGCCCTGAGCAACATGCACCAGAGGGAGACTCACCCCCCAGAGTCGGAGGCACTCTTTCCGGATTTCTGCCTGACGAGGCTCACTCAGGGTTCTGGGGAAATGAAGTCAGCGAAAGATTAAAACCCCAAGAGACACAAGGGATTCGATTCCCAGAATCCCACAGGGGGCCTGCGTGAAGGACCACCGTGCTCACGCTGCTCTGAGCCCTGAGTGCTTATGTCATGTACATGATGCTACCGCCTCAACACGAGAGCTCAGATGGACGGCTTTCCCGCCCGTCACAGCAGCCCTCTGGAGGGGGCAGGAGCCACAGTCCAGCAGGGAGGGCACCTGCCTCGCACGCGGCAGACCCAGGTTCAATCTTCGGCATCACACATGGTCCCCTGAGCACCACCAGGAGTGATTCCTGAGAGCAAAGCCGCCCTGAGCACAACGGGTGTGACCCAAAAGGGGGGTCGGGGGGTAAAAACAGCCTCCCGACCACCCTCGATAACAGGACTGGCCACACACCCTCCTCCAAACCGCTGCAGGTGAAGTCCACTCTTCCCCAGGGAGTCGAATCAACTTCCGCCCATCCCTTCGGAGGTTGCCTTCCTCATTCCTATTTCTCCTCCTTGGACCACTTGTGACTGTCTTCTGGAAAATACCTCCTGCTATGCTACTCTCGATCCCTTGTCGCACTACCCTGCTAGTCATTTTTTCTACAGTCTTATCCTAGTTCCTCTTATCTCCTCAAAACATTTGAGGGGAAGGTTCATGCCATGTTTCTCGGGCAGCCTTCACAACCCTCAGCAGAGTGCGAGGTAAGTACAAAGACAGAGCCCAAGAGGAGGAGCAAAACAAAAAAGATCTTCCCTTGCCCGAGGTGGATTCTGGAAAGTGGGGAACACTCACGTGTCTTGCACAAAGGCATGAATTTTGGCCAGAGCTTTGATCTGCAGACTGCAATGGCTAGAAGACAAAAAAAAAAAAAAAAAAAGGTTTAATCTCAGAAGGTGTACAAAAAAGACAACCTAAAGATATCAAAACAGAGAAATTTAGCTGGAGCACTGGCCCCTGACACCTGGCGGACGAGTTGGAAAGAAACCCGCTTTAACTACGCCCAAACGAACGACTGACGTGTGAGGGCTGCTGAAGGCTAAGGACAGACAGGAACCGAGTCAGAAGCCCCCCCCAGACCCAAGTCTCACTAAAAGGAAGGCTCCGATCCCATCTTCAAATGGCGGTGAAGACACTCCAAAGAAATCAACAACGATTTAAGCCACCTATAACACCTGCTCTTTCTCCTCTATCCAGACGTGTTCTCTTACAGAAAGTGCCTAACATTTCATTAAAAATCAAAGTTAAATGTAAATAGGATGCGGCATTATAAAAGAAGAAAATGCCACCTGTAAACAAGAAGGAAAGAGTCCAAGAGAAGACCCAGAGAGGGTACAAATGCTGAAGTTAGCAGACAGGGCCTTTAAGTACATGTGACTGTGCTCAGGGCCAGAAGTCCCGTGCTCAGGGACCCAAGTCTGATGGCACCACGGACCCCGAAGCTCTACCAGGTTTGCCACTCCAAGCTGGATTGCTCTGGTGACTCACAGCACTGCACTGTTGGGCACAAACCTTGAACCCTCAGCCTAGTTGGCCAAGTATCACCAGAAGCAGCCTGCAAACTCTGAGCACTGTTTGGAGCCTCCAAAAATAAATTTAACACAGTTAGAAAGATAAATAGTACAAGGGTTAAAGTACGTGCCTTGCGTGTGACTGATCCCAATTTGATTCTTGTACCACATCGTTCGCCCCAAGCATCAGCTGGTACAGTCCTGTGGAGGCCCCTGAACACTGCTGACTGTGGCTAGGAGGTTCCCAGAGACCACCAAGGAGGCCTGGGTAACCCCCAGCACTGCAGGGCCCAGGCAGCAGGGCACTCTCAGCTCCATGCACTGAACTGCTGGCCTACTTGGCCAAGAATCACCAAAAGGAGCCCCCAGGCCTCCTGGGAGGCCCAGAGCTAACTAATTGTGATAAACATGTTAAACGTGCACAACAAGCATAAAAAGATGGACATCAATGAAGATACAGAATCTACTTTAAAACTGTAGCACTTGTCCTCCCGTTGTTCATCGATTTTTCAAAACAGCAAATATAAAATATTGTAAAAATGACTGGGCCGGAGCGATAGCATAGCGGGTAGGGCATTTGCCTTGCACGAGATCAACCCAGGTTCAATTCCTCTGCCCCTCCCGGAGAGCCTGGCAAGCTACCCATGACGTGTCCGATATGCCAAAAAAAAAAAAAAAAAAAACCAGTAACAACAAGTCTCACAATGGAGACGTTACTGGTGCCCACTCGAGCAAATCGACGAACAACGGGAGGACAGTGCTACTTTCACAGACAATAAAAATGATTCTTTTAATGGGATCAGCAGCAGTCTGAACAAGGATGGGAAAGATTAAAGTGAGCTTCAGGACAGGTCAACAGAAATCCAAACTGAGGGGCCAGAGAGCAGGCAAGGTGCTAGCCTTACACAAGACCAATCCAGTTTCAATCCTTGGCACCCATGTGTACTGCCAGGAGTGATCCCTGAGTGCAGAGCCAGGAGTAAGCCTTGAGCACTGTCAGTGTGACACCCCAAACGAGTAACAATAACCACAACAAAAACACACAAGAAACCGAAACTGGGCCAGAGAGACAGTACAGTGGGTAAGGCGTTTGCCTTGCATCAGCCGATGCGAATTTGACCCCTGGTATCTCATATGTCCCATGAGCACTACCAGAGTAATTCCTGAGTGCAGAGCCAGGAGCAACCCCTGAGCATTGTTGGCTGGGTGGCCCCGAAACAAAAAATAACAAAAAAGAAATCCAAAATGAAACATAAATAGGGGGGAAAATATAACAAAGCATCTAAGTTCTGGACAATAACAATTTAACATAAACTATAATTGAAATTCCAGAAGCAAAGGAAACAACATAACAACATCACAAAAATACTGACAAGATAACAGCCAAATACTTTCCCAAATGGATGACTAAAGTCAATTCAAAATCAAAAGAATCCTAAGCACAATCAATACCAAAAAAAAAGAAAGGTCATATATAAAGACATTATAAATGGGGCTGGAGAGACAGTACGAAAGTTAAGGCCCTCGACTTGAAAGATGCTGACCCTCTTAATCCCCAGCACCACTCCCTGAGCACTGCCAGGAGTGATTCCCGAGCACAGAGCCCAAAACATCCTCCACGCATCACTGGATTTGGCCCCAAAACTCTGTAATAAGTGGGGCTGGAGTGACAGCACAGTGGGTAGGGCATTTGCTTTGCACCTGGTCAACCCGGGTTCAATTCCCAGCATCCCATATGGACCCCAAGCACTGCCAGGAGTAATTCCTGAGTGCATGAGCCAGGAGTAACCCCTGAGCATCGCCGGGTGTGACCCAAAAAGCAAAACAAAGACAAAAAACAAACAAACAAAAACGCTCTATAATAAGGAAAAAAATATATATATATATATATCTGTCTCACGGTCAACATGCTAAAAGCAAAAGACAGAAAAATACTGCAAGGAGTGCAATGTCATTAGAATACATGAAAGGTGTTATGAATATGGCTAACAATGGGGAACAAAGGCACAGTATCTTTGAAGAGATGAAAAATTCAACCTCAAATTCTATATCCAATGAAAATATTCCTCAAAAATGAAAGAAGAAAACGCATTTTCAAATAAATGCAAGAAGTTGGTCTGCTATAGACCTGCACTGTGAAGCGAGAACCCCGGGGCCTGGAGAGTGCCGCAGGAAGGCTCCTGACTGCAGGCAACCGATCCACGCACCGCCCCCAGCACCCCATGCAGTGTGAGCCCCGTGGGGAGAGACCCCTAAGTCCAGTCAGGAATATAGCCTGAGCAACACACGGGGGATGGCCCAAACACCATCAACAAATAAAACAGGATGACAAGAATTCTTCGGGGTTAAAGGAAATGATTCTAAATAGACACGGTTCTGTGGGAAGGAACGTGGGACACATCATCAGTAAACATCAAGGGCATTAAAAAGAAAAACTGATGGATGTAGTATCTACATATTTAAAAATACTATGGATCACCCAACAACAGTGGAAAATACATTCTTCTCACATGTACCCGGAACACTTTCTAGGGCAGACTACCTGTTAGACCACAAAACAATTCGCCAACAGTCCCACCGTGCACCTGCTCTGATGAGCATGCTGTAAGACTGTGTTTCACTACGATGGCATCAAACCGGACTCAGCAAAAGGAAAACTGGAAAATGCATGGAAACATGGAATTAAATCACACTCTCTTAACCAACCGATGGGCCAAAGAAAGTAAAGGGAAAATTTTTAATTTTTGAGACAAAAATGGAAACACAACATACCAGAACTTATGGAATGCAGGAAAAGCAGTTCTAAGCGGGAAGTTCATAGCAATAAAGACCTACATTAAAAAGTAAAAAAAGATGTGTGAGGCCCTGGGTGTCATTCCCAGTACCAATTTTAAAAAAATAAGTATGAAAGATCGCAAATAAACATCCAAACTCAAACTCTATACCCTAAGTAACTAAGAAAAGAATAAGATTACCGGGGGCTAAAGAAAGGAAATGATAAAATTAGAGCAAAAAGAGATGAAACAGGGAACAGAAGAACAATTGAAAAGTAAGCAAACTAAACATTGGTTCTGTCTCTATTTGGGGAACACAGAGTGCTCAGGGAACCATGCAGTGCAGGAGACACTGGACCCCTGGACCTGGACCCCCCCCCCACACACACACACGGAAAGTACGTGTTCCAGCCCTCTGAGCCATCTCTTCAGGTCCCCAAACAAAACTGGTTCTTGCTAAAGAGAAACAAAACTGATAAATCCTTGGCTAGACTAATCATCAAAAAAGGAGAAAAACTCCAAATTAACCGAAACATATATTCAAAGGATCATAAAAAAAACTTCTTCAAATAACTATTTGCTAACAAACTGGGCAACCTATGAGAAAGGGAAAAATTGTTAGAAACACACTACCAAGACTGAATCAGAAAGAAAGAAAATATGAAAAAAAAGTTGCTTGCTAAATTAAATCAGAGACTAAAAACCTCCCACCCCCTTAGAAAAAAGTCCAGGACCTGGTGGCCTCACCAATTTTACCAAACATTTAAAGATGATACACCAATTATTCTCAAACACTAACAAAAACAAAACAAACAAACAAAATGGATGGAACACTCCCAAACTCATTAAATAAGACTAGCACTATTTTGATACCAAATCAGAAAAGGCTACAACTAAACACTGCAGGCCAAAATTCCTGATGTACACAAACGCAAAAAATTTCTCAATAAAATACTATGAAACTAAACAGCATATTAAAAGGATCCTCCATCCGTGTGGGACCACTGGACAATGATGGAGGGAGCTTGAAACACTGGTGAAGGAACTGGTATAGCTGTAGTACTACAACTATCACGGTCACGGTCCTCCCGTTGTTCATCGATTTGCTCGAGCGGGCCCAGTAACGTCTCCATTGGAGACTTTGTTGTTACTGTGTCTGGCATATCGAATACTCTCGGTAGCTTGCCGGGCTCTCCGAGAGGGGCGGAGGAATCGAACTCGGGTCGGCCATGTTGGCCACTTGTAAGGCGAACGCCCTACCCGCTGTGCTATCACTCCAGCCCATAAAATACTATTTTATACAACTACAATACTATTGTAAACTATGATTCAGTGAAAAAGAAATTAAATATATCAACGGGTCACTGTTGTTCATAAAGCAGGAAAATGTCTTTTTTTTGGTTCTTGGCGCAGACCCAGTTGTGCTCAGGCTCCTGGTGGTACTCAGGGTACCACCTGGAGTGCTGAGGATGGACCAGGGTCAGCCATGTGCAAGGAGAGTGACAGGAATGCCATCTTTATGTATGTACCCTTCCAAATTGGAAATGCCATGAATGTTATCCTCAGAAGGAAAGATAAGTTATGGTACAGCCTCACAACAGGTATTACCATTCAACGACAACAAAAAGAGGACAAACACAAGGATAAACATCAAAGCACTAAAAATAACCCGTGTATGATTCCATTCTAGAAAGTAAAATAGATGATAAAAATCAGAGGAGAGATCACTTCAGGGATGGGTTGGGACTCAAAGAAACTTCTGAGACAACAGGAAAAGTTTTTTTTATCTGAAGAGGTACAGAAGCTCCATGGACATATGCACTTGTCAAATCTGAGTAAAGTGTATGTATGGGGGAGGGGTGGGAAGTAAGGGATCAGGGTGCTTGCCTTTCATGCAGCTTCCCAGGTTCAATCCCCAGACCTCTATGGCCCCCAAACACAGTCAAGTGATCCCCAAGCACATAGCCAGAAGCAATACGCATCTCGGGGTGTGGACCCCACCCCACAAAATTTTTAAAGGAAAAGGATCATAGGATTAAACACTGCGATGGGAGCACCCAGAAATCCAGTTTTCTATTACTCATAGCAACAAGCTCAGAAAAAAAGATAGTATGGGGGGGGTGGGATACTGGGATTAGTGGTGGTGGAGAATGGGCACTGGTGGAGGGATGGGTGCTCGATCATTGTATAACTGAAACCCAAGCACAAAAATCTCTAAGTCTACAACTGTACCTCATGGTGTTTCACTAATAAAAACTTAAAAAAAGAAAAAAAGTGTTCCAAAGCCCTCACTTTGCCAACAGTAGGCCAGGTCAAGTCTGCTTTCCCCTCCTGAAAATTGGCACCCAATCCACCCTGGTGCCAATGATTTCTATCACGACAACAGAGCTTCTGTAGCAGTACTATGGAAAGTCAAAATATCTTGAGATGATGGGTAAATGGGAAAGTGCAGAAAAGGATAAAGATCTCTTCTTCTATGAGTCTCCAGCGCTGCTTATCCCAACAAACTTCCATGGAAGATTTGGAATTACACCGTTAAAAAATGGCCTTTCCAACCTATTCAGCCCCCTAAGAAATTACTTCCATTGATTCACTGCTGCAACTCTCTGAATCAACTCAAAAAACTTTTTTATCATCTTTGTCCACTTAGAAAAATAAGCCAAAGATAACAACTTTAAATTATGACCATTAATAGGGTAAAAATGTTTTTAAAGGTTTCTTTCTTTAAAAAAATAGAAACCATTCAAATTACCTCTCTGGGGGTGCTCATAAGCTGGAAAGAACTTTAATACTAGGAACTTTCAAAGCATGTTTTATACCTGCTTTCCAGGCATCTCCTGCCTCTCAAAAGGGGCCCTCTTACAAACTCAGTTACTCTTGCCTCTGAGGACACAGGAGGAGGTGCTCTGTAGGGTTCACTATCACACAGGGTCCCGGGACGGGAGGGTGGGGGGGGCTATACCAAACACCCACGAACCTAGGGATGAGGCACAGGAACAGGACAGAAGCCCCCAAGGTATCCACACGGGGCACTACAATCAGAAGACCAAATCCAAATGCCAATTTTTCAGGTTGACAAAGTGATACCAAGAGCCCGTCATTCTACCCTTCTTCATTTGCATCTTCTCTGATACCTCAGTCACGGTCACGGTCCTCCCGTTGTTCATCGATTTGCTCGAGCGGGCCCAGTAACGTCTCCATCATGAGACTTGTTACTGTGTTTGGCATATCGAATACATCACGGGTAGCTTGCCAGGCTCTGCCGTGCAGGCGAGATACTCTCGGTAGCTTGTCGGGCTCTCTGAGAGGGGTGGAGGAATCGAACTCGGGTTGACCATGTTGGCTGCTTGTAAGGCAAATGCCCTACCGCTGTGCTATCGCGCCAGCCCAGTAGTGCCGGCAAAATCCTTCCTATGTACTTACCTTTCATTGGACCGGATCATGTAGTCAGTAAATTCTTGGTCTCCCTTGATCACCTCCAAGGGCACCACAAGGTTCACATCAGCATCGGTGTTTGCCAGCTGGTTGAGTTTGATGTTCACCGAGAAGAGGTAGTCCCGCACGTCATCTATGCCCACCTTTAGGCCCTTGCACACCACATACCTGGGAGGAGAGACCTTGTCACTCTACTGAGCAAGGGTCCCCTCCCCACATACCCATCTCCCCAGTGCTCGCTGATCATGAAGCTAAAGAGTCTTCCTGTTCAGCCTTCTTTGCACAAAGAAAAGAGCAGGTGCTGTACAGCAAACGCTTGCCTCAAGCCCTTCCTTTTTACCTCTGGGTTCTCTCTGGCCGTGGCCTTTAACTACCCTGTGTCGTGCCAGCTACATCACCAACACTTGTTAAATCACAGACCCAATGAATCAAACACTCCACGGATCTGTACCCTAGCAATTCTACCTTGCTACGTTTTCTCTACATCACACAATATATGTGGTGCCCTGAGATGCCCACAGATCCTCTGGTTGTGTACTCCGGCCCCTTCCTCCCAGAGTTGTCTCTGGTTAGGCCTCTGAAAGCCGGAAAGGCAAACAGGCATATCCCAGAACCAGTGTCCTCCAGGTCATGACTCCTGTTGGCTCAAATCACTTCTTTTAAGCCAAGGTTTTCAAAGTAGCCTAAGAGAGCATGCCAGAGAGATGCGAGAGAATTTGCCATCTGGACAATCGGCCCGCTAGCCTGATAAAAACAGAGAGAAACAGCTCACCTCTCTGAGTTGGCAGGACGGCTGGTGACCGGCTTAAAGAGACAGACACGTTCAAAGCAGCAGTACAGCAGGTAGATGAGCCCCACGCTGAACGGTGTGAACAGGTCAAAGGTTTTACAGATGAAGTGGCCTCCTGGGTTATAGAGAAAATAACAAGAGCAGCGAATGCATCCTACTTTACGGAGTGGTAACGGCAGTCTTAGAGCATACGTGACAAAGTATGCTCCCAGGGCGCAGCATCTGGGCCAATCAAAAGTCAGAGGTAATTTAAAGGCCAGACTCAGGGACACTACAGAAGTTCCTTTCCAAAACCTCTGATGTCACCTGAAATCAGAAAACGTGTATCTGCGTGCGTGCGGCAGGTATCTAGCCCAGGTCCTCATACATGCAAAGCACGTGCTCTACCACTGAGTTACATCCCAATTCCAAAGGCAGAATCTGAGTACATGCTCTTATCTGACAAGAATATCTAGTAAGTCCGGGCTGTCACCTGTGCGGACAATGGACAGTGCCATGAGGAACTGACAGAGCAGCAGCTGCTTGCTGAGGATTTCTTGCAGATTCTCCTGCCCCTCCACTGAGAAACCCTGAAATGAAAAAACAAGGGTCAGGTGCAAAAAGGAAATGATGAAGACTAAGGAGAATCCCTACCCTGATAGGTACAGAATGATCTCTCTCAGACGTGGGCTCTAAAGAAACACAGCAAGGTGGCAACAAGGGGCGAAAGACAACACAGCCGGAGAACTGATGGGTACACTGGCGAGGGGTGTGGAACTCTGTGCACGGGAAACTGCTGGAACAGCAACCCGACGTATTTTAGGCTTCGTCAGCGAACTGCTCCTTTTCTTCCTCCCAGAGTAGCTTACCGTGCTCTTGCTAGCATCCCTAACTTAGTTAAAGTTTATCTTTGACCTTTCCTTTGTATTTTATCTCTCATTGTCACAGCTCCCCAAGTCAGTCTTGATTACTGATAAGCCAAAACTTTTTGGTAATTCTGGACTTTTTATTTGTAGTGCTTTGTATTTGAGGTGCCGTGTATTTTTTACCAGCTTTTCTATTTCCCCTATAGCCTTTTTTATATTTTACCACAGAGCAATGTTCTTCGCTTAAACACAGAAAGACTATCAATGCTGTGCCTCCAATATTTGGGAGCTGATTGACTGTGAAATATATCTACTCCAGGGCATTGGTCACGATTACTTGACTCAGGCTTCAGTTGCTGTCGTTCCTAACACCCTAAAAGGGAGGTCCTGCCGTGGGACTGGGATGGACCCAGGTTGAGAGGTGAAGCTATCCCAGCATCAAAACGGGACTGTCTAGAAAGCATAAATGCATGGTCTTGATGCAAGCTGATATGACTTAAGAGACAGGACCCCCATGGGGAAGGACAAGATGAAGTGGCTTCAGGAGACTTAGTCTGGTATTTACGGTAAGAGACTTGCTTGCTCTCAGAACCCAGAGAACTGGAAAGTAAACTTGACTGTTTAACATATACAACTGGAGGGAAAGACAAAAGCAATGCGGATGTCCCTGGGAGACCATGTGTCTCCTTGAATTCATCTCCCCAAGAGAATTGCCTCTGCCAAATGTTTTTCTCTGTAAATGATTAATCACACCTAGGTCCTATACCTCAACCCGCCTCAGATGTTCTGTAACTATGTTAGCAGCTCTGCATTAAGTATGCTAGCAGCTCGGGCCACTTTCATCACCACAGCGTGGTTCCTCGTCTCTGCTGGGGAGGCCTGGGGAGGATGAGAGGCAGCCAGGCCACCAAATGCACGCATAGCGCAGTACCCACACACTTTGTGGACTCACAGGAAACCATCATTAACAGCATTTTAGGGCCAGAGCCATAGTATAGCAAGTAGAACGTTTGCAAGCGGCTGACCCAGGTTCGATCCCTAGAATCCTATATGGTCGCCCAAGCATTACCAGGCGTAATTCTGAGTGCAAAGCCAGGAGAAACCCCTGAGCATTGCCAGTGTGGCCCCAAAGCAAAAACAATGAATACTTCAAATCACAGAAATAAAAGCAATCACAAAGTCAGAAGGAAAAAGAGAGAGAAAGGGGCCAGAATCAAAGTACACCACGAAGGGCAGGGTGTCTGCCTCACAAGCAGCCAGCAGGGTTCAACCCCCAGTCTGGTTCCCTGGGGGCAGGCTCCAAGAGTGATTCCAGAGTGCAGAACCAAGAGTAGCCCCTGAGCATTGCTGGGTGTGGCCCAAACTCTCCCTTCAAACAAAAAAGGAAAAAACTGAGAACCCCTACTTAATTTTCACTGAGATTTCTCGAACTGTTTTCACTTGATCTCCCCTAAAGACATAAGCTTTAAAGAAAAAAAAAAAGACATAAGCTTGGTGTTTAAATAAGTTTTAGCAGGCATGCAGCTCCACTGTGGGTGAATGGCTCCACGAGGACCCAAGTTCAACTACTAAGGCAGTGCAATTTTCTTGTTCTACCACTCACAAACAAGTCTCACGATGGAGACGTTTACTGGGCCCACTCAAGCAAATCGATGAACAACGGGAGGACAGTGCTCCAGTGCTGTGAAACTGAACGTGCTTTCGAAGATTACCAAGAAAAATCTAAAATTCATATGGGAATCCAAGGGCAAAGGCGTAACTGACCAAGAAATGCTAGATCGGAACCCCAGATCTCAAGCAATGCTTGGGAGGCCAACCCTCCCCCACAAAGAGTTGAGATGGTAAATTTTGTGTTTTTGTTTTACCACAATAATTTTAAAAGGTGAAGGGGGCTGGCCTTCATCCAACTGGGCCAAGCAAGGGCAGGCCTCCCTGACTCAGCCCTACTGACTCAAGAAATGACACAACACAAATGAAGAACACTGACTTCCAAATTTGGAGGTGCTTCTCGAAACACATGTCTGAGGGTTTTTCCCTTAAAGTGCAGGTCGCCTGTCCACACTGCAGAAAGACAACCCTGGCATTCACAACTCTGCAAGGGTTCCGTCCTCAACCACCAGGTGCCTGCCCTGCTCCTCCTTTCCCTGCCACAGGCTTTGGTGAGACATGGCACCTGCCGATCCTGCGATGACTGACATCTGCACGCTGCTTCCCTCCTGAGTGGGAGAGCCCCTCGAGGAGCCTCCAAGAGTCCTTTACCAGTCAGCCCTCCTCTCACCAGTGTCCTTTAACCTTTCTACACCTGGGAGCAGCACCTGTCCTGGATATGGGTCTATGAGCCAGCAGCTACCGCCAACTCGGTCAGCTGGAGCTTTTAACCTTTCTACCCTTGAGACGAACATAGTCTAGGGACTGACCGTTGAGGAGGCCAGCGCTACCAGGGCTCCCCAGAGCTGCCCGAGGAGCAGGCTCCGTCCGAGTTCCCTAGAGCCCAGCAATCCGGAGCCACCTGCAGATGCCCAGAAGGGGCTGCCTTCGGTGACATGGTCCTCTATGAGCCTCTCAAGAGGCTTAGAAGTAGACACCATAAATTGCACATGGCCCCCCACAAAAAAAGCCTCTGCCGAAAACAGTACCCCACGGACGAATGATGGAGATGTTCTCCTCAGATAGTTTGGCCTGTTTCATTTTGGCCGCAATCCTCCCCTCACCAAGTCTCACCGCCAAACTTTGAAGAAGTGAGCTAAAAAGGTTCACATGCCCCAGAGTTATCTATCTCACTAAATTACCCAGAGGCTTTATAAAGTCATTTAAAATATGTACACAGAGCTGAGAGGTAGTCTACATGCCTAACATGTGCCCCCCCTGAGTCCGACCTGCAGTACCATAGGGTCCCCTATATCCCTGGAGGCCCCCAGACACCACCAGGGAAGCCTGAGTAAGCCCCCAGCAGTACCACATCCTCAGGCCTTCACAGTGAACAGTTGGTCTGGTAGGCTGAGAATTTCCAGTAGGGCCTTGTACCCCTTTTGGGCCTTGGAGTTCCCAAAATCAATGAGAAAATAATATTTTGTACAAATATGTACAAAAAAATAAAACTGCATCACTCTCAGCCACTATGATCGAGAAGGAGCATCTATTAAACCAAACACAACAAAACATAGATACAGGGAGATAGTGCAGTGAGGCACTTGCCTTGCATAAAGCTGACCCCAGTTCAATCCCTGGCACCCCATCTGGTCCCTAGAGCCCTGCCAGTAGTGATCCCTGAGCACAGAGCCAGGAGTAAATTCTGAACACCAGACTGTATGGCTCAAAAACAGGGGGGTGAAAAAGAAGAAAAGACAGTAATAAATCTTCAAGGCTGTAACCAGAGAATCCCTAAAGTTTCACCCTAAGAAAAATAAATCACCTACCCCATCGGCCATCAGGAAGTGGACACCCTTACGATCTGTGTTATCCAGGACAAAGTTTCTAAAAGCAGAGATGTTATCCGGGCGAGTGATGTCTCCATCTCCATCGATCCCACCCTCGCCTGGCAGGACATAAGAGTCACAGTTAGCTCATCTGTCCCCTGTGTCCCAAGAGCTGGGACGAACACAATCTGGGACACAGTGCACACAGGTACCAGGTGGGCCCTGGGCCCCAGGAGGAAAATCTCTGTGAGGAGCAACTCCCTGCAGAGCCTCTTGTGCAGTGTTGGACCAAGAGAAGAAAGCAGAGCTTTACAATCATAAACACGGGTTCAATGGGAGCTGGCTGAAAGGCATCAGCTGAAGTAGGTCTGCTTCCAGCTAATGCAGTACTGAAAGCACCTGTGTTTAGGAACGAGTCTTAATAGTGTGAACAAGCACTATTAAGAATGGACTTCAGGGGGCTGGAGTGGAACGAGAGCACAGCAGGTAGGGCCTTTGCCTTGCACGCAGCCAACCCGGGTTCAAGACCCAACATCCCATATGGTCCCCTGAGCACCGCCAGGAGTAATTCCTGAGCACATGAGCCAGGAGTAACCCCTGTGCATCGCTGGGTGTGACGCAAAGAAAGAAAGGACTTCAGGTTTGGTGCCAATCGCCAAAGTGGAGGCGGGGGTGGGGGGGGCTCTTGTGCAAGCACAGACCTGTCTGCTATTCAGCAGTGCCAGGCCCGACACAGAGGACTGGAGATGGGCATGGGCATGGGGCCGTCACTGAGGACGAGGCAGTTTTCAGTATCTCCTGTTCCCCACAAAAGGAGGGAAGACTAATAGTGTTGGTGCAAGGCTCCTTATTGGGGAGTTTCAGTGTATCCTGCAAGCTGGTGGGAAAAGCAGACACTAAAGGGAACTGAGATGCTTATGACATGGACAAGAACCTCGGGCTCAGAGACCGAGGAAAGAAAACCAGCAAGCAGTTTTCACTGCTTCTGACCTGAGTCCCCGCGAGGATTGTCCCTCCTAGAACCTTGGACCCTCAGTATCCCTACCATAGTAGGGCTCGAAGAGCTCGCTGGAGGCCGAGTAGAAGTCCTCTAGCTTGAAGTCATTAGGGCCCCTAAGGGTCATTCCGAAGCCCTTGGCATGCCACTTCTTCCTCCACAGCACATACTCCGAGAAGCCGCCTGGGCCTGCGCAGACGTCAGCAAAGTACAGAAGTTCTGCTTCTCGGTCCTTGACCAGAGGCCTCTGCAAAGGCAAGCGAAAAAGAGGGGCGGGAGAAGAAAAACGAGCTAAGTGGGGCACAGACATACCCAAAGCTTCTGCTTCCCTTCTCTTCTTCCTCCTTATGACTTCCATTTTCTTTCCAATTTTTTAATTTGAAGTGATTTGGGGCTTACAGAAGAATTGCAAAGCCAAAGTTCTAATTTACTCCACCCTTTGCCCAATCCTGTTTTTTAACATCTTCTGCAGATCGATCAATGTACCACTGAACAACCAACTAGAAGAGGCTGCGCCACGGGGTCTTCCCTCTCTGCAAGTGTGATATAGCTTAGGGCACGCCCGGAGTTCTGGAACTACTAGGTGAAGATCAGAGAACCGCAAGGAAACAGTACACGAAAGAAATCGAAACATTCATGTCCCAACACAGCTTCTAGGTGACAAGGCTCTGCCTCTGATGACAGCCATCTAGTTTTATCACAACAGTAACAACTATCTCTAGAGCAAATAACACGAACTAAAACTCCATCATCCTATGACAAGCTCATCCAGGCATGCCGGGGTAGATCATTTCTCCTCCCCTGCCCACCACAGCACCCCACCCCAGCACTCTTTGTTCCTGAGCATCAATTATTCACATATTGGTACTATATTCATTTGTATACACACACTTAATGGCTTTTGCCACAATTTACCCTGTAGCACTTTCAAAGCAGCACAGTGGAAAAAAGGCTAAGTCATTCCTGCACACACCGGAAAGAGGGGGAAAAATCATGTTCTTAACCCAGCCCAAGGCTGCAATCTCACCTGATGAGTTACTGGCCCAAAGGAAGACTGGGGGAATAAAGGAAATAAAGCACTGAGAAAGCACCTCCCGCTGGAACAGAGGGCCTACATATGATCTCATTGTTGATCCCACGACATAGAGCCCTCACAAGCCAGAGCCAGGAGGTCCTCCCAGAGACAGGACAGCTGGAGTTCTCACCTTTCCCACTAACTGCTGTGAAGTCAAGGGCGAACACACAGATGATGTCTAGACCCAAGCTTCCTCGACTGTAAACTAGGACTAATGTACGTCATTTCTCAAGTCTGCCACAGGATTAAATAAAGTACCACATGTCAAAGAGCATTATAGACTACTAAAATATAAGGTATTTTATTCAACTAGATCAACTACCTTGAAATCAAAACTCTTATCCTTTTCCTTTCTTTTCTATGTCTAATACCTAGTGCGATAGTCTGTTTGCCAGCACTTTCTAAGTGCTATTCCCTGTAAGACAGAACTGAAACTTACAGATATGTATTCAATTTCTGTCACCTGCTATGCTTCCTACTGTTTTTCTCACCTCAACAATACCCCCAGGCACAGAAATTCCTCAAAAAAATGTTATGGTTTATAATGTAATACCTGTCACTGTCACTGTCCTCCCGTTGTTCATCGATTTGTTCGAGCAGGCCCAGTAACGTCTCCATTGTGAGACTTGTTACTGTGTTTGCCATATCGAATACATCACGGGGAGCTTGCCAGGCTTTGCCGTGCGGGTGAGATACTCTCGGTAGCTTGGAGAAATCGATCTCGGGTTGGCCAGGTCGGCCGCGTGCAAGGCAAATGCCCTACCCGCTGTGCTATCTGCTATCGCTCCAGCCCAATGGAATACCCAAGAATTTAAATTCCCTCCCTTCCTTTGTCTCTTCTAATTCTCATTTGCAGTTCAATGTCTTTACCACAGTCCCCTTTTTCTTTTTACCACAGCATGCAGAACTAGAAAGCTACTTATAGATCTTATCCCAACTAACTACCCATCACATACCTCCCGACCACTGCAGTCAGCCAAGATTAAGTTCTCCCTGCTCTTATCCTGCCACTTGCCTGACCCAGGTGGGACACTGAGGGAGATCCTAGCAAACCCTCCAGCCAGCTCATCTCTGCTGGAGCCTCACTGGGGTCTCAGCTCACCTGAAAAACACACCAAGCCTGCAGGGCTTGGCTGCTACTCTGGTCCCTCAGGGGGAAACAGAGATGAAAAGAAAGGAGGAAAAAACATTAGGGGCTAGAGAGAACTGCCTTTTATAGTGGAGGGTAAAGAAAGATCTCTGAAAGGGCGATTCTCCATGGCCACTAACAATCAATTCAGGTCAAGAAGCTTCCTGAAGCATTTACAAACAGGCCTGTATTTCTTATGTAACTAACATCTCTACCCTAAACCAGAATGGTACAACCCTGGTGCTGGCTCCATTTTCACAACAGAAAAAGACAATAACCGAATAACAGCTGCTGAAGGCGTTTACTTTCAAAAGCCCAAAATGACACTATGACTCCCCATCAGCTTGACAGAGCTCCTTTGCCAGGCAGGGGTTTAAAGAAAATCTGATGGAGCTCAGAAAATTAAATCAACATTATATCAACCTAATTTACTCAAGATGCTAATTCCAAGCGCCCTTTTGTGCTGCCTGCTGGTACTGGAAAACGCGGAAGGAGACTTAGCAAAGAGTTAGATGACTGAAGGCTGGAGGGGTTTCTACGCCAGCTCTACCAGCATGGAGGAAGGAAGCTGGAACTGAAATGTTAAAGAACTTTAAAATCAAGTTTCTTGCGCGAGTGGATAATGGGCGGGGGTGGAGGAGGAGTGGCGGTGGCAGGAGAGTGAGGACAGCAGGACAGGTCCAGGACAGCTGGCTTATGGCCGTTTCATTGTCAGAGAACTAACTGGGTAGAAAGTGTTCTGAAATCCTGAAGGTAATTTTTAAAAGAAAACATTTCAGAGTTTGTGTTGAGAAAAGTAAGTATTCTGTCTTGCCATTTCCCAAGAAGAGCCAAAGTCTGGTGATCCCACACAAAGGGGAAGGTGGCCACAACTGAAGTCTTACAGACAGAACAGTCTTAGAACCAGCTGGTCTCCCCTCCGCCCTCTGACTGGTGAACAGGGGCCCTGCAGAGAGCCAAAAAAGATCTACTTAAAGGACATCACCCATAATGCAAATGCTGCCCGGCTCCCTGCACTAAGTGGAAACAGCCTCTAGGTTCTCAGAGCAGATATTGATCACAGAGATCAATAAAAAGCACACAGATGCCCACATTTCAGTCAACACTCAGACCACAATTCTCAGAGCTCTTCCTCTCAGACCAAAGGGAGCACCCAAATCAGATGTCACAAATCTCAGTCTGGAAAACAAGCTCCCCATAAGAGCTCCTGTTCACCCAAAAGTATTCTCTATCCTATCAACAGTAAGAAAACAGTAGGCAAAAGCTCCCCAGTAGCAACAGGCTCCGTTCACAATGAGTCCAGCAATGTTTTCTAAATACCCCAACTCCAGCTCTCAAGCCCACTAGAACGTCCAGAACCTAAATGCAACAGGGACAGGGTCACACTGAATTTATCATTAGATTCCTGGGTTAGAGGTACTTGGGTTAAAGAGCTTGCCTTGCACACAGCCAATCCCAGCTTGACCCTGGGGCAGTTCTGGCACTGAATATGGTGCCCCCAGCACTGCCAAGAGTGATTCCTGAGTTCAGAGCAACTCCACCCGGTGCACCACCAGTACGGGGGCCAGCTAAGTATGTTTAACGGATGCAGAAAAAGAATCTGTGGCAGTGTTCCCCAACATGCATGATACAGCCCCTTCTCCATCCAGAGGGCACTGGAAGGATCCAGTAGATGGTAGCAGCCTGGAGTGCAATTAGGAGGTACTTTCTGGTTTGGTTTTGTTTTTTTCCTTCAAGAAAGCAGACTTCAAACAACACATCGGAGAAATGCCTCCAGACCCTGTGCCAGGCTGTCTCATCTGGGGCAACTTGGACTGGAGTGGGTGATCCCCCTACCCACCCCAACAGAGCCCAGCAGCTGAAAACCTCCAGAACTCAATCACCACCAGGCTTACAGCCGCTCTCCACATGCTCAGAAGAGCCTCAGCAGGAGTGAGCCTGCTGTAGAATTCCTGGAGCACGCGACTGGAACAATTCTTACTCTACACCACTGATATACCAAGAGTAGCACACCACATCTGGTGGGGTTTAAAGTAGAAGGCAGTACAACAATCTTTACACACTTTATTCAAAATAAGTTCTCGCTCTCGGAGAACCCGGCAGGCTACCAAGAGTATCCTGCCCACATGGCAGAGCCTGGCAAACTCCCCGTGGCGTATTCAATATGCCAAAATCCAGTAACAATGATGGGTCTCATTCCCCTGATCCTGAAGGAGCCTCCAATGTGGCACTTGCTAAAGTCTCAGGGCTAGGACAAATGGAGATGTTACTGGTGCCTGCTCGAAGAAACTGATGAACAATGGGATGACAGTGATACAAAATTAATTATTTCGGTTCTGCTCTGGGGCACAGTTTGGGATCTGAGGTGGAAACATTCGAAATATGGTGGTGGGAACGTGCAATGGTGGTGGGATTGATGTTCAGATATTAAATGCAATGAATTATTGTGAACAACTTTATAAAAATAAGATTTTTTAAAAAGGGCAGGATTTTCAAGAGGATATAGAGTAGTTTTTCTGTTTTTGTTTTGGGGTCACATGGGGGTAAGCTCAGGGCTTACTCCTGGCTCTGTGCCCAAGCATCTCTCCTGGTAAGGCAGAGGGCACGCGACGAGGTACCAAGGACAGAACTCCAGGTGGCCACATGCAAGGCAAGCGCCTTTCCCCCTGTTCTCTTTGGCCCGATTCTTCTGTCTTTTTCTGGAAGTACTCAAGATTTCATTTGGAGGCTTTTACAAAGAGGAGGGAAAGTGAGAGAGAGGAACGTGCTCAAGAGAGAATGTGGCTTTCCATAAAGCCAGGAAAGACAGATATGAGCCGGTCGTGATGGGGTGACCGAAACCTCATGGGAAGGGGGGCATTCCCGGCTTGTCCTTCACACCCTACCGAGGTCAGGAGTTGCTCCCCCCCCCCCCCCCCCCCCCCGAGCGGCTCTCCGGCACGGCCATGGCTCCAGAACACAGAAACCAATCTCATAATTATCTGACTCTCAGCAGAATTACTTCCAGGCTTAATAAGTAAAATACCAGAAATCCAAAATCGCGCGGCCGCGACATCATTTATTCTTGTGACAGCTGTAGAAAACAAATTATTTCACAATGCCTTTTCAGCATTGTCTGATTTGGGGGTGTAAACTCCAAATAATAAGGGTGCATCTTTTGTCGAAACAATGAATCTAATCAAAGTAGACAGAGTGTTAACTAGAATTCATCTGCCTCACAGGCATTGGGAGGCATGGGGAGAGGGGGTTTATTGGGGTTCTTCGTGGTGAAAAATAAGTATTGGTAAAGGGAAATGTGTTTGATATTTGCATGACCAAGACTTAAACCTGAAAGCTTTGTAATTTTTCCCAGTGATTCAATAAATAAATAAATAAATAATGAAATTTAAAAAGAAAAAAAAGAGAATGTGGGCTTCTCCAAAGGCAGAGAGAGCCCCTACACACACCCCAGCATTAGATATCACAGATCACAGTACTCCCATTGTTCATCGATTTGCTCGAGCGGGCCCAGTAACGTCTCCATTGGAGACTTTGTTGTTACTATGTCTGGCATATCGAATTCGTCACGGGGAGCGTGCCAGGCCCTGCCGTGCGGGTGAGATACTCTCAGTAGCTTGCCGGGCTCTCCGAGAGGGGCAGAGGAATCGAACTTGGGTCGGCCACGTTGGCTGCGTGCAAGGCAAATGCCCTACCACTGTGCTATCGCTCCAGCCCGGCATTAGATATGGAAGCATGAAAGTCCACATCTCAAGAGGGCAAGTGCGAGCGACACGTGTGCTCAGCCACATGGGCGCCAGCAGCACTTGGGCAGGGCAGCATATGCGCCTGCCATTTTCTTAAGGGTTTGGAAGAGGAGGCTGGGAGGCTGCCTCTGCAGCACGACTTCCCACTGTCTGCTGAGGCACCCCTGGGCCACGCACAGCACTGAGGAACCCTGTCTGAGGTGCCCTTCGCCAACCGATCTCTCTCTCGCAGGAGCAATGCTATGCGAGAACTGAATAGACACCAAACCCGAACCACCGAAGCCAGTCAGCATTGGGACTTCAGAAGCAGAATCTTGTTCTCACCCCACAGGAGTCTCGTGGATTCGTGAACATGCGATCAAATACGAAATCCATGTTCGCCATCTTCATTGCTGCCCTAGAACAAAGCAAGACAGGAAAGTGTCACCACCTCAAGTACGCAGGAAGCAGAGGCTCGTGACAAGGCGCACAATGACATGATGCCCGGGGAAGGAAGGGAGGCGTCAGCAGACCTGTTAAGGAAGAAGACGCCTCGGATCATCTCGTAAGGGTTGGCCCGGGTCCGAGCTCGCCGCATCTCCTCCCCATCCAGGACATCAAACACGCTCTGCCGGAGAGAATCAAAACCGCAAAGTGAGGGTCACCCTAACCCTCTGGGATGGCCCAGGACAAAGTAACGGACCAAAGCGAGTATAAAGGGGAAGTTCCTTGACTTGCTTGCGGCCAACCCAGGCTCAACCCCCACCACTGTTTATGGTCCCTTGAGCACCCCCAGGATTTGAGCAGAGCCAGTAATAAGAACTGAGCACTGAGCAGCACAGCCCCCCAAAATAAAATAGGAATTATAAAAAATAAAATCTTCGGGCCGGACTCCACTGCCTCACGACTGAGCTCCATAAAGATGCCATGTGCCTGCTGACAATTTCAGGTACATCAGGAGTTTGGGGGGCTGAAAACTCCAGGCCTTCTTGGAGTAGGGGCAGGGGCCATGCCCTCACCCCTCATCCTTCCAGAAGCCCCGGCAGACACACCCTCATCCCACTGGTGCTGCCATAGAAGCTCATCCACTGGCCCTATTCCAGAGACACATGATTAAGTCTCGAAAAATTTTGGATCAACTCGCTGCAAAAATTCTCAGGTACACAGGTCCCGGCTGGGATGTCCAGGGTGACATGGGGAGCGGCAAGCCAAGTTTCCACCCTACCAAAGCCCTGACAGCCACATCCACACCCCAGTAGCTGCCCCCAGCCACCATTCTTGTAGTATAAGTTCCTAAAGAAAACTTTAAGCTCCTGATTCTGTGAATTCCATCCGGAATACAGTAAATAATTTCTTTTCTATTCACTGCCTGATCTGGCTGGGTAATACAACATTTTCCAAAAATTAAAAATTGGAAATGTGAAATTAGTTTTCTTTACTTAAACACCATTTTTTTTTTTACTGAATCACCTTGAGATACACTTACAAAGCTTTCATGTTTGAATTTCAGTCACACAATGATAGAACACCCATCCCTCCACCAGTGCACATTTTCCACCACCGATGTCTCCAGTATTCCTCCTCCACACTGTCCCACCCCTCCCCCTGCCTCTATGGCAGGCAGTTCCCCTCTGACTCTCTCTCTACTTATGGGTATTTTGGTTTGCAATATAGATACTGAGAGGCTATCATGTTTGGTCCTTAATTTAGTTTCAGCACACATCCTCCATGACAAACAATTCCTCAAACCATCATTGACTTACTGATCCCTTCTCTATTCCAGCTGCCTTCTCCCCCAGCTCATGAGACAGGCTTCCAACTATGGAGCAATATTCCTGGCCCTTGTGTCTATCGTCCTTGGGTATCAGTCTCATATTATGTTATTTTATATTCCACAAATGAGTGCAGTCCTTCTATATCTGTCCCTCTCTTTCTGACTTATTTCACTTTAGAATGATATTCTCCATGGCCATCCACTTTCATGACTTCGTCTCTCCTAATAGCTGCATAGTAATCCATTGTGTAGATGTACCAAAGTTTCTTTAACCAGTTGTCTCTTCTCGGGCACTCAGGTTGTTTCCAGGTTCCGGTACTGCAATGAGCATACAGGTGAAGATGTCATTTCTACTGTGCTTTTTTGTAGCCTTGGGATATGTTACCAGAGGTGGTATTGTGGGGTCACATGGAAGCTCAATTTCTAGTTTTTGAAGGAATCCCCATATTGTTTTCCAAAAAGGCTGGAACAGTCGGCATTCCCACCAACAATGAAAGGGAGTCCCTTTCTCCCCACATCCGTGCCAGCACTGGTTGTTCTTGTTCTTTTTGATTTGTGCCAGTCTCTGTGGTGTGAGATGATATCTCATTGTTGTTTTGATTTGCATCTCCAGGATAATTAGCGATGTAGAGCATTTTTTCATATAAACACCATGATTTTCCAAGTTTTTCATAATACAGTTGTTTCAGACGCTCTGTTCAAACAGTCTTGACACTCAACTGCCCAAGTGGAAAACAGTAAATCGTAACAGTGGTATCACCACCAGAAAAATGGCTCCTGTGGTTGTGCGTGCAATGCCAGCTCTCACCCCTACTCATCCTCACTACACGTATGTTCCTCTGCACCACACCTGCGGCATCCTACCGAGGGACAGGAAGTGTGACATCAGGTCTCACTCAGAGTAAACAAACCCAGGCCAGGGTTCCTCCTGGTACCGAATGCCAGGGAGGGAACCTTTCTCCCTACTTCAGTTTTGCCTTCTGAAAGAAAGAGAGTCACGCTTCAGCTGAGATTCAGTCACCTCAAGGATACTCTGAACGCCAACAAGTGAGCTCCATAAAGCCCATCTGAGTCCTTGTTTCTTCTTCCAAACCATTTTCTCCTGGGAGTTTCTCAGGTTCGATATTCTGCAGACAATGCACTTCTGGGTCCAAACCAGGTCAAAAGCCATTAAGGAGAGGCAAACATTCGCTCAGCATCCTAAGCACTTCCCACCCACAACATGAATTAATTCTCACCATACCATAGCACAGCGGGTAGGGCGTTTGCCTTGCACGCAGGCAACATGGCCGACCCGAGTTCGATTCCTCCGCCCCTCTCGGAGAGCCTGGCAAGCTACCGAGAGTATTCGATATGCCAGACACAGTAACAACAAAGTCTCCAATGGAGACGTTACTGGGCCCGCTTGAGCAAATCGATGATCAACGGGAGGGCCTTTACTTTACTTTACCAGAAAGTACTTTCCACCAATTTTATAGATGGAAAAAAAAACTCAAACTCAAAGTAGCACTTCACTGATCCGGTAAAAAAGTTGCAAAACCAGAATTTGAATTTAGGTCTAAAAGAAACTGCAACCCTTCCACTAGGCCACAACCCTCTGGACCACAAAGATGCATCCCAGAGAGGGTTAAGGGGACTCTTTCCTGGCTGGGAACACAGGGACGAGCACACTACAAGGCAGAACAGGCACCAGGAAAAAAGGAGAACCTGGAGCGATGTACCCATACACATTTAATCTCCAAGTAAAATCTCTGTGAAACTCAGTCCCCGTAAGCGGATTCAAAATAAGCCCGGCACAGCCCCTCACAAGGCTCCCAGTCAAGCTCAAGCCAGAAGATCTTACCTTACACTGCAGCACACTGTGGAGAAGTTCTTCCCCACAAAACTCTGTTTCATCTTCAATCATCAGCTTTCTCTGTGAGAGAAGAATCAATTGTGACCGTGTGCAACTGCATTTGGAGGATAAACAGCAAAATTAGGATTCCACGGGTAGAGTAAGAGCAGGCTGAGTCTCTGCCAAGGAACAACAATACCTGAGGGACAGAAGAGGAAATCCTAAATTCCTCCAGATGGCTGAGATAAAGCAGCCCCTAGGTGCTTGCACTAGAGCACCATGTGGGTCCAAGCCTCCAGAAAGCAGAGTGAAAACTGCAAACAGAAAGGGTAGCTTCAAGCTGCCCACTGAGAGCCCAGAGGCAGGATGAGGACTGCCCGACACGAGGCCAGCCTGGCCTGCAAGCAGAAGCCTCTGGCGCCGTGATGAGTGTGAATGCACAAGGACAGGCACTAGCCTGGCAGTGCCAGAGGAACAAGGGCTCGGGGGGCCTCGGAGGAAGGTAGACCACCCCTAACCTAAAGTTAGAGGCACCTCTAAACAGTGATGCTCAAACGCAGACTCCTCAGGTGACTCTCTTCCAAATCACCAAAGAGCCCAAGAACTTTTGTTCAATCTGTGTCAGTGTTAATTATTAGAAATTAAAATTGAGGAATTTAAAAATACTGATCCATCAGTATATTTAAATATTAATATTTTAAATATCAATTCAGTCTATAAAAATGGAATGTGGGGGAAAGAGCGATAGTACAGCAGAGAGGGCACCTGCTTTGCATGCGGCTGACCTGGGTTGACCCCTGATATCTTATACGATCCCCCGAGCCTGAACACAACCCAAAAATAAAAAATAAAAATTACATGAATTTTAGGATTAAAAAAAGACATAGGAAATATAAATCTATTTTCCCACAAAAACATAAAGAAAATTGCATTGTTTTCTATTTTTGCAAATCCCTCCATTTCTGGTTTAAGAAATTTCTGCTTTAAGTGTCCTCTCCACATTCACATTCAACTGGTTGTGTTAACATGTCGAGCTACTGAGAAGCTCCACTGGACACCTGCTAGAAAATGAGGGCGAAAACGACAAGTGTCATTACAAAAACAGCTTTAAGCTGTAGACCGCCTGCAAGGGTCTCAGAGATGCCAGGAGGCAAGTATACTTTGGGACGCTGCTCTCGAGACCACACCGATTTGGTCACCATCTACATTACTCTTCCAATTTTCCAGGAGATGAAAGAGGTTCCTCACTTCCGAAGGACAGGGACACTGTCTTCACATCCACTTGGAACAGTGCCTGGCACCAAACAGAATACACACGAATGTGTAACAAGCTGGCCTAAAAAGCATCCGTAAGAAGATAAAAGCATTCACAGGAAGAGAGAAGTTCTGAATGTTGTGCTGCCTGGCAAGGTGAATGACTCAGGGGAGCGCGCAGGGGACTTCTCTGCCCCATCTCCCAAAGCCTTATTTGTAAAGGCATTAACACACCCTTTTGAAATCAGCTTTATTTCTCCCACAAAGGTTGGCTTCACGTTGTTCTTAAAAGGAGGCTACATATAATCTATACTGAACTGCAGAAGAAAACGAAAATAATCATGAAAGAATTCAGGGTGTATTTTCCTGAACTCCTTACCTTTCCCACGACTAACCAATCGCTCATTTCCTTAGCATCAGGAATTTCAGTGGTACATTCTGGGAACCATGACACCTGCTCAAGGGCACTGGGCTGCAAACACAAGAGACAAGCAGAGCAGGGTAAGATCGACGTGCAAGCTGTGCCCCAGCTCACTTGTGTTTTCCACCAAAAGAGAGTTAAAGAGAAAGGGGTAAAGAATCCAGGAAGCAGAGGCCAAACAGAGTAGAACTGAGTGAAACTTCCAAAGTTTAACTTCTGCAGACCAGCTCTGATCCTGGTTTGATTTCTTAGAGACTTCTCAAACTTCCAAGATTTCCTTTATTTCCTTCAATAATCCAGTATTATGTAATCAACATCCACCACAGTCTAACTGCTCAGAATGCAGTCAGAAAGAATGGTTCCTGACTAAAGGATCTATCATCAGAGCACTGGGGACACAAAAAGTGTCCGGCTTGCGTGTCTATATGTTTCTTTGCTTGCTTGTTTCCACTCTGTTCTATCGTGAACACATACTTTTCTCCTTCTCTTTACTCACATCTTTCTAAATAAGTTTCAATAAAAAACTATCTTGTGTCACCAAAAGAAGTATTTCTGAGGTGAAAACTCTTATCTAGCACCCTATTACAATATTTACTCTCTTCTGCCCTGTCTCACCTGCTTTTCACTTTTATTCATCTCCTCACAACTACCATGCCGACAGCTCTCGTGTCAGAATCTTGCTTGGAAGCCTTATTGGGCTTTTATCATGAGAGTTCTTTCCTGAACTGGAATATCAGGGAGACAAATGCAGTAATAATTTTCCAGAGCTCAGTTACATCAGAAGCTCAAATACAGCAATTATGGAAAAAGCTAAACATTTATGTTCTATTTTCTCTAGTTTCAACCCTGTAGCAACATTTCACCATGATTTGTAGGTGCTTCTACTATACCTATTTCAAATTATATTAGAATAAGATAGAATGTAAATAAATCGATAAAAAAATGAAAACAGCAGTATCAGTGCCAGGAAACAGGATATTTCTTTTGGTGGTCAGAGCTAAAACAACAGAGATGCAAAGAGTAATCAGGCTAAACTCACACACAACAAAGAGGAGGGTTACCTGGCATAGCACCTATTTCAAACCAGGATTGTCCTAAATCTGAGGAGATGGCAATTATTCCCCAGAAGACACCTAATCCAGCCACTCACACCATGAGTAAGGGAGCCCTCAACTGTGAAACAACTAAATTGTTTCAGCAAAGGGAGCTGACACCTTGTGAGATATATCAGTCACTGGTGGAAAGCTGTATCTATTTTCTAAAGTTTCTCGTGAAGCTCTCTGCCTTCCACTAGTCTTAGTCCTGCAGGAAGCAAGAGGAAGCAAACCCACATCAGCTTCTCTCTCTCCAAATCTGCTTTCCATTCCGGATGTCCCCCTTACATTCCACACAACAGTCAAATCCCCACCAATACCCTGATCATATAGCGTCTGGAGACTTCTGATTTGTTGTTAATAAGCTACGTAGAGCCACGCATCCCAAAACACAAGGAACTTTCTATCTCCTCCCCACACTGGTTACCTCAGGCTCGTCTCTCCAGTCCACATTCAGTTCTTGGTCAAAGCCTTGCAGAGTCAGACCCAGACCTCTTCGACCTTTCTGATTGGAGGCTTCAACAATGTCCTTCCGACCCTGGCTGTATTTACCCAATCCTTCGCCTTCTCTGAAGCCCATCTTGGCCTGAAAAAGAGAAGTAACAAAGCGTTTATATAATAGTAATTTTCTTGCAACCATCCATACAAGATAAACCTGAGAAATACAGTAAGTAAGACCTACACTTCCCTTGCAGTTTAACTGTGCCCAGTGCCTATCCTGGTGGTGAAATTAAAAAAAAAAATTCAGCCAGCTTCCTAGATATGTATTTTCTTTAAATGAACAAAAAGTACCTCCCACCATACACTACCTCTCTCACCCCAGCGCCCCTACCCACAGAGGGGAGCATCACTCACTGCGGGAAAACTGGTCTACAGCAACCAGAGGTTAGATAAATAATGAACTCCATAGCTGTAATTAAATGTACCGAGACTACAAAATGAACCTCATTGGACATTTGCATAACTACCCTTCCATTTAATTTGTCTGATTAAGTGAGAAGTAAATCTAGACTAGAACTGATAAAGAGGACATACTGCAAATGGAACCACTTTAAGTGGCAACTTCTATCTTCCTGGCAAACTGCCAATGACAAGGAAGACTTGCAGGTGTCCACTCAATCAAGAGATTAATTAAAAAGTCACGTCACGTAAAACTGAGGCATGGAAGGTATTTTGGACTGAAACATTTTCTGAAATGCCAAAACTATCTATAAGCCCCTGCTAAATCTAGATCATTGTGCCCAACTGTAGACCCCAAATCCTAAACTCCACAAACTCTCAGGACTGAAGTTCTAATAATAAGAAATGAGAAAATCTCAGAAAATTTATTTTATAAGATCTAATTCCCCCTCGGTGGTTTGTATTTCCTTTGGACAAGGCATTACCAGCCTAACACCTGGATGAATTCCTATAGTAGCCACAAATCCTTTCCCCCAGTTCAAAGGAGGTGACTGAATCACAAATCTTATTGTTTACTCCCTTAAAGTTCATGAATCCCCAAACTAGAATCCTGAGTTCTACTTTAGACGTGGTAGCCCTCATTGAGTGAATCAATTAGAAAACAGAGAAGTCAGTTACAAATTCAATGAGAAAAGTGATCAGGTTTTCCTATTCACCTTTCTGTGTTATATTAATGGGGAAATGGAAGAAGGGGAATTCTTTCGAAAGCACTAGTTGCACTATCCCATTTATTGTGGGTGTCTGAGAGTGACTAGAATTTTAGTCATTTTTCTTTCCTTTTCTCTTTGTTGGCAGGAAAGGGAACCGAGGAAAGGGGGTGGGCATAACTGGTGGTGCTTGGGGTGTACTTCTGACCTTTGTGTTCAGAGGACCACGTGGTAGCAGGAATCAAACCAGAGTTAGCCACATACAAGGCAAGTGCCTTAACCCTGTACTATCTTCCCAGTCCCTTTAGTGATTTCTTTTGAGATGACTCATAAAAGCAAAATTCATAGCACAAAGCCTTTTTGCCCATAGACATACATCTATGTGCAGGGAAGCATATTTACATATGCTCATGACAATTCACGACTAACGGCCAGAGAGACAGTACAGTGGGTTAGGCACTTGCCATGCACATATTCAATCCAGACTCCATCCCAGACACCACTATGATCCCCTAAGACTGACAGGAGTGATCTACGAGGAGAGCCAAGGAGTAAGGCCTGAGCACTGCCAGTTGTGGCAGAAAACAAACAAAACAAAGACCCAACTCATCACTAAGAAGAACAAGCGGTGACCCAGCTCCAGACATGACCGGAGGAGGAGCTCTAAACGGTCACTACGCATTGATGAATCCATATACTTTTACTGAGGAAAATGGCTACATTCTACATTACTAAATTTCAGTAACTAGAGGTTAAATAAAAATTCATGCTCTAGCTCTCTTCTTGTCATTTCCCTTCTCTAACTGTCCTCTAACTTTCCCTTCTCTAACCCAACCCAAGCAGTGACATACCATAAGCTTCTGGGAGACACTATTATACATGGAGTAGCGAGAAGACGTTCCCTCCACGAGGGAGTCTGCTTTGAATGCATCGTCGAAAGAGTCAGAGCTGTGCTGCTTCCCCTCAGTCTCGCTGTCAGACCCGCTGAGGCTTGTCATAGGTGCTGGAGGTGGGGGAGGGAGAAAAGGAGAATGTTTAGGTGAACTGACAATGCAAAATGTCTCTGGCAGGAAACATTTCTGTTTCAACCACTGCTTATTATAGGCATTGCACACATAAAATTCATTACATGACCAAGGGTCAAATATATTCTCTATCTCTTAACTAATCTTAGCTAAGTCACTTAAAGTTGCTAAAGGTATGTGACACACAATAGCTCAAAAGTATCTGTTTTCCTTTTAATTTCTTCCTTTACAAAACTGGAAAGTAAGAGTAAGTATCTGCCTCATGGGGTAAAGGTAAAGGCCCTCCCGTTGATCATCGATTTGCTCGAGCGGGCCCAGTAACGTCTCCATTGGAGACTTTGTTGTTACTGTGTCTGGCATATCGAATACTCTCGGTAGCTTGCCGGGCTGGGGTTAAAAGATTAAATAATATATTTGAAAGTGCACGATCCCCTAACTTCAAACTCTACTAAAAAGCAGTAATAATTAAAACAGCATGGTACTGGAACAAAAACAGAGCCGCAGACCAATGGAACAGGGTTGAATATACTGACATCTCCCCCCTAAACATATGATCATCTAATCTTTGACAAGGGAGCAAGAAATGTGAAGTGGATCAAGGAAAGCGTCTTTAACAAATTGTGCTGGCAAAACTGGACAGCTACACGCAAAAAAATGGGCTCAGATCTCTGCCTAACACCATGTACAAAAGTAAGATCAAAACGGATTAAAAACCTCAACATCAGACCATAATCCATAAGGTACACTGAAGAAAAGTTGGCAAAAGCCTCCATGACATTGAAGCTAACGGTATCTTCAAAGATGTCACGCCAACTGGCCGAGCAAGTGAAAACAGAGATAGACAAATGGGACTATCTTAAACTAAGAAGCTCCTGCACCTCAAAAGAAACAGTGACCTAAATACAAAGACAGTCTACAGAATGGGAAAGGATATTCACCGAATACACATCCGACAAGGGGTTGATATCAAGGATATACAAAGTACTGGTTGAACTCCATAAGAAGAAAACATCCAACCCCTTCAAAAAATGGGGTGATGAAATGAACAGAAACTTTTCCAAAGGAGAAATCTGAATGGCTAAAAGGCACATGAGAAAATGCTCTGCATCATTAATCATCAGGGAGATGCAGATCAAAACAACAATGAGATATCAACTCACACCACAGAGATTGGCCCACACCCAAAAGAACAAAAGCAACCGGTGTTGGTGCGGATGTGGTGAGAAAGAGACCCTCCTTCACTGCTGGTGGGAATGCCGACTGGTTCAGCCCTTTTGGAAATCAGTATGGACGATTCTCAAAAAATTAGAAATTGAGCTCCCATTTGACCCAGCAATACCACTCCTGGGAATATATCCCAGAGAGGCAAAAAAGTATAGTCGAAATGACATCTGCACTTGTTTGTTCATTGCAGCACTGCTTACAATAGCTAGAATCTGGAAAAAAATCTGAATGCCCGAGAACAGATGACTGGTTAAAGAAACTTTGGTACATCTACACAATGGAGTACCATATAGCTGTTAGAAAAGATGAAGTCATAAGATTTACATACAAATGGTACTACATGGAATGTATCATGCTAAGCAAAATGAGTCAGAAAGAGAGGGACAGACATAGAAAGATTGCATTCATCTGGGGAACATAAAGTTAACAAAATAGAAGACAAACACGCAAGAATAGCCAAGAAAAGTACAAGGAGGTTTACTCCAGGGCTTGGAGGCCATTCGCACATGTTAGGGGAAAAGGCAGCTCAGCTAGAGAAGGGAGCACCAAATAAAGGGTGTTGGGAGGATCCTCCCAGGGTGGGAGAAGCATGCTGAAAGTAGACTATAGACCAAACATGGTTGCCACTCAATGCCTCTTTTGCAAACCACAGCACCCAAAAGGAGAGAGAACAAAAGGGAATGCCCTGCCACAGAGGCAGGGTGGGATGGGGGGGATGAGGGGTGGGAGGGATGCTGGGACCCGTGGTGGTGGAGGATGGGCGCTGGTGGAGGGATGGGTACTTGATCATTGTATAACTGAAACCCAAGCACAAAAATTTGTAAGTCTATAACTGTACCTTATGGTGTTTCACTAATAAAATTCTTTTTAAAAAACTGCACTATCAACTATAAATTATATCTACTGACAGTATTATTTCAGTGCTGTTTACTTCTTGAATGCTAAATTTCCCAATACTGATGATTCCCGATTCTATTTTCAACAATTCTATCACCAGATTAACAGTTTCTGTTTTGAGTAGTCCAAACTCTTAAGCAGAGCGTGGGATTACAGCGCAGTCCCAGAGAAGCGCTGACTCCAAGGGGAAAAGCAGGGGAAGAGCAAGGAGAGCCGAAAAGCTGCACCCAAGCACTCCGGAAGGGAGTCAATGGCCAGTGAGTCATGGCTAACAACCTTGCTGCCAAAGGGTTCCAAATAAAACCCACCTCAGCACCTCCAGACTTTCGCCCTGACTTTTTTTCACTGTATCTATAATCCAGGATGGGAGACGCATGCTGAAAGTAGACTATAGACCGAACATGACTGCCACTTCATTGCCATGATTAGTCTGCATGCGGCAGACCTGAGTTTAATTCCCAGCATCGCATATGGTCCCCCACGCACTGCCAGGAGTAATCCCTGAGTGCAAAGCCAGCAGTAAACCCTGTGCGTCACCGGTGTGACCCAAAAAGCAAAAAAAAAAAGTTAGCCCCTGAGTACCTGAGTACTGACTGAGCCAGGTGCTCTGAGCATCACCAGATGTGGCCCCGAAACAAAAAATAAATAAAACTAAAATTCTTTTTTCATTTATCTCATTTTTTTAAAACATCAGTTAGCTGTTAGGATACAAATGCTTGTCATTCAGACCTAAACACTTACTAAGTATTTCTTGTAGATTATAGATACAGTAAAAAAAGTCAGGGCAACATTCAGTGTGACAAGAACCAAGAAAACTTAGGAGCCTCTGCTTTACACTGTAATGCATCAACAAGGCACTGTCAAATTATTAACAAATGAGTCACACTGCACATACAAACATGGAGGGTACCTGAAATCTCTTGATATGAAGAGGAAAACTGGCTTGCTAACTCAAGCCTGCGTTCTCCCCTGAACACATCTGTTTGCTTTTTCCACTGAGAAGCCTGTGTTGTCTCTTGAACGTGTCCTCCTCTTCTGTCTCTCCCCTCATATCTAAGTAAATTTCATTCAATATAAAATGTCTAACTTCACTTTAAAAAGGGGGGGGGGACAATAACATTGCTTATTTATTTCTTACCATTGCAAAAAGGATTTTTGGAAAGCAAGATATACAATACCAATAAAATTACTTAAACATGCTAGAAAGCATAGTTTGCACGCAGGGGTCCAGATTCCCAGCACTACTGTAGCCCTGTACCACTGTCCTCCCGTTGCTCATCGATTTGTTCGAGCGGGCCCAGTAACGTCTCCATTGTGAGACTTGTTGTTACTGTGTTTGGCGTATCGAATACGTCACGGGAAGCTTGCCAGGCTTTGCCGTGCGGGCGAAATACTTTCAGTAGCTTGCCGTGCTCTCTGAGAGGGGCTGAGGAACCAAACCCAGCTTGGCCGGGCCAGCGGCTTGCAAGGGACATGCCCTACTGCTGTGCTATCGCTCCAGCCCTACATGGTCCCCCAAATACTGCCAGGAGTGACCCGCATGTACTACCCTGGAGTAGGCCCAAGCACTACCAGATCCAAAATAAATAAACATGCAGCAACTAATGTTTAGAAGCAGAATACCTAAATAATTTCTTGAAACAAGTGAAAAAAAGTGAAATTTAATAGTAATATTTTTATATTGTTAGAGTTTTATATCACTGGCTATCTTTTATTTTTGGTTTATCAATCATGTGTATGTTATCTATAAAAAATGTAAATAAATAACTGGGGAGAAAACCTGACTTAGTAATTTAACATAATTCCTCTAAGAAACAAAGAAAAGTGCCTTAGACTAGAGAGACAGTACAGTTTTAGGACATTTGTTATACACGGCTTAGGCAGGTTTGATCCCTGGCATTCCATAAGGTCCCTCGAACATCGCCTGGAGTAACCCCAGAGCATGGAAGGGTATGCTACCCCCTCCAAAAAAAAAAAAAGAAAAAGAGAAGTGCTTAAGAAGAAGTGTTGACTCAGCTTAACTGCTTCTGGGAGGAGCTTCTAAGGAAAGAAACATAAGGCAAACATAAAACAGTTCTTTATACAGTCAAGATAGTCTCTACTTGGGTATCCATAACTTGAGGATCATGCCTAACTTAGAGGACTACAAATCATAACTCTCTATTGCAACAAACCATCTATTTTCCAACAAGAAAAGAAAGGATTCGCATCAAGAAGAACATAACCTTTTCTAGCACCCCAGGTCTAACTGCTCTGCCCTTCCACTAGGCACCAGTATTCAGATCATTAGCATAAAACATCACATTGCCAGACAGCCAATTACTGTCACTTGCCATCAGACTGGACAGCCACTCCTGAGAAATACGAACTATGGCAGTCAACTTTCTATACCAACACCTGAACTAAAGATTTCCATTTAATGGAGAGTAAGTGCTCATCTTATTATCTAGTTCTTACTCTGGAGAACCTGGCAGGCTACCGAAGTATCCTGCACGCATGGCAGAGTCTGGCAAACTCCCCGTGGCGTATTCAATAGGCCAAAACCCAGGAACAATGATGGATCTCATTCTCCTGACCCTGAAAGAGCCTCGAATGTGGCACTTTCTAAAATCTCAGGGCTAGGACGAAGGAGACGTTACTGGTGTCTGCTCGAGGAAATCGATGAACAGGATGACAGTGATACAGAAGTGCTCACTGGAGTGAACAGTTCTGAAGTTGTCACTTTTGCAAAACACCTTCTGTATCCAGATCCTGTATCTCTATTTTTCCTCTTATGATACCTCATGTACAAGGAAGGCAATACATTCAGTCCTCAGAAGTACAAGGGGATTCGGAGCGACAGTACAGTGACGAGGGC